AGCGTATATATAAATAAGGTGTTTATAATATGCTTGATTGGGTGTAATCGTGTTACGTGTTAAATAAAGTGTATGAACCTGAGACCGGAAATTACGAGTATTTCTAAAACTAAACACAGAGGCCTTGAGATAAAATTTCAATTCAGTATTGAGGTTACTAAAATGCCACATCCTATTGGTCGTTAAATTATTTTCTTAGTTCCTTATAATTGATTTTTATACTGTCTAAAATAGCAATATTGAAGAATTTTTGATTTAACTTTTGCTATATAGGTACTGTTTCCAAAACATATGAAGTTTGCTCAAAGAAGCAATTTTATTACCTCAAAATATAATATTAACCGCATAAACTTTTGCATTTGCATTGTTTAAACATTCATACTAATCCATACTAATATTATAAATGTGAAAGTGTGATTGTTTGTTTGTCGTTCTTTCACGTCGAAACGGAGAGACGGATTGGCGTGACTTTTTGTGTGGAGATAAATGGAAGGCTGGAGAGTGACATAGACTACCTTTTTTTGACCGGGTTCGCAGATTCTGCTAGTTATATTTTTAGAAATAAAAATATATTTTATGAAATAGTATGAAAAGATGATAGTGACAGAAAAATTACGACGAACTAAAACAGAAGGCTTATAAAAGCTATGTATTTTAGCTTCAACGATATAAAACTACCATAAAATTTAAATAAGCACAGATGAACGATAAAAATACAAAAATTCTTTAAAATAATAAATAACGTGGGCTTACATAATTTAACATATTCTTTGACTTTTTAATCAGAATATCTAAGGCACTCATATTGACATGGACGCGACGGCACTCGGCGCTGGTGTCACGAAATTAATTAGACCCTTTACCTAAAGAGTACGGTATTAAACCTGTCTGATTAAATTACTCTACTAAAACATGCAGTAAAGGTAAAAAAACTTTGTTTAGTAAATTAATTTAAAACTAATATTGATAACTAAAATATAACATTGTATGTCTGTATGGTTTTCACTAAACGGATAAATTGATTTTGAAGAAATGAGATATAAGAAGAACGTTCAATTTAAAGAAAATGCTCTAACCGTTTTTTTTTAATTTAACATATGTCCTTCTTTAGGATATAAAACTGATTAAAAAAATCATAACCTTAGATAATAAGTTGTGTAGATACTGTAGTGTCCGACCGGAATAAGATTTGTAGCCGAAACCGAAAACGAACCTTCGGCCTCAGTCTCAGTTTCGGCCAAAACCGAAATCGAAATTTATTTAGACCTGTTAAAAATTCTATTTATGTTCACGTTTTTATTTATATGTTAAGTTAACTAGCGCCTACACCTCACTTCGCTCTGGAGCGTCCCTTAACAGTAACTTATATTTTACACATAGTATATCTTGTACTTAATTTCAAGGAATAACAAACGCACGCGCGCGCACATACACACGCACACGTACGCACGCACGTACAAACACATACGCACACAAATACACTAAGAGCAGTATACTACTATACACTCATACACATACACATACTCTTACTCATATTTTTACGTTCATAATAGTGGTGTGTTTGTACAAATAACCCTAACTCGACGCAATTGCGCCAGCGGCTAGCGATACCATGATGCACGAATTAACACGAAGTAAAACAATTCATTAACACTAAGTTTCGACGCGGCCGAAGATTCGACTTGTTTTTGAGCAAAACCGAAACTATGGCCGAAACTAGATTTTCTGGCTGAAACCGAAACCGAATCTTCGGTCGGTCACTAGTAGATAGAAAAAATTGTTATACACATAAGTACGTACATACATAGCATAAGGGTAAAATGAGGTTTATATAATTTAACAATGAAAAGAACGAAAAAGTTATGGCTATAACCAATTTAATTGTCAATAAAAGAAATAAAATAAATATAAAATAAATACTTTTTGTCGATAATAATTTGACAATTATAATTGTGAAGAAACAACTATTACAGTTTACATAAAAAAAATATTGTACTTAGTATTAATAAAGCTTTAAAATTCTGTAAACGCAAGACTCTACATTGGAAAATAAAAGAAGTAGGCTAAGTTATATTAAAAATTCCCTCGACAAGTCAATAGAATATTAATGTTTAAAACAACCATGCTATTAGAAGAATATGCAGAGTAATATTTAAATTTTGCATTTTTTTTTGTTTTCTTGTAAATTATTTCTTTCTTAGTAAAGTCTTTTTTGAACTGGATATTAATTTCAAAAGAAATCCTCTTTAAAGAACCTATAGTTTACCGAAATTAGCATGCAAAGGCTTTCAGATGCAACAGCTGGTTTGTGAACGCCACAGAACGTACCAATCAAGAGTATGACGTTATTTGCAGTTACCATTAAAACTTGAACTTTAAGAACAATCGTGTTTCATATAATATGAAAAACTATATCCATGCTTACTAATATTCTAAATGTGTGTTCGTTTGTTTGCCTGTTTGTCCTTCTTTAAAACATTTTTTTGAATTGTATTATAACGTGTTTCCCGTGGGAAAGAGATAATCTCCCACGGTAAAAAGTATCCTATATGTTGACCCGGATAACCAGCTATCATCATACCAAATTTTATCAAAATCTGTCCAGTGGTTTTCTCATAATGCGGTAACAGACAGACACAAAATTTCTAATAACTATAGATTCGGCCTCCGTATCGATTATAATGACTATTTTAATGACATTTTCCAAAAAATATTTAAGACAGATTCGACTCAGTTAGAATTTTATTATATGTATAGTACGGAGCGTCACAGCAGCGAATAGGCAATACGTTCTTACATAGATGAGTGTTTATGGGCCGGTGAGTGACTTAAACTACATATTTTGCTTCAATATATCGAAAGCTTCTCTTAGGAATACATAAAAAAATCACTAAGAGATCACTATAGGTCATTTAATATATTATAATATACTTTTAGTTACCTAAGTTGTTTTATAATATAGTAGCGCGTTGGTAAGAACTTATGAAACTAACAGCCACCTACGTGTCACTCCAGGTAATGGTCTACCTGAGTACTAAACATCCATATGCATCTAGCCATTACAGCGTGAAGAAGTAACATACATACGCACACACACTTTCATTTATAATAATAGTCATCCGATACCCGTCCTTACTACATATATAGTTTGATTCTGATATTATTTTTTTAATCACACGCTATTATACATTTTTTCCGCTGAAGCTCTTAGCGTTCATCCCACGCGATAAACAAACCCGCGATGTTTGAAACAGAATCTGTGCCAAAGCGAGATCTATGTACATTATAAATTCAAAGAAAAAACAAACCTAAATATGGCTTGAAATATCATTTTAATTTCATCGGTATATTTGTTATTTCAGGCAAGATAACACAATCTCCGAGGATAAAGCATCACCGCTTCCGACCGGGGAGTAAAATTAGTTTGTTTGTACAGAACCCCGTTAATTAGGGTCGGGGTAAGTGGTGATTTGGTTTATCTATACGTATGTTATGAAATGGAATGGTGTCACACAACAAAGGAAAGTTTTGAGGAAATTGCAATAACCATACTTAGTGCTTTAGTGCTACAAATAGGAGTCTAAGTTAAGGAGGTAGATTTTTTATTGGTAACTAGGGACTCACCCTCGCAACGCTCTGCGTGTATTTTAATATCTTTTTACATTTTACTATAATATCCCATGAGAACTACTTTAGAGGATACATTCTAGATATAAAGGATTCAGTGTTATTTGCAAACTCCATGCCACAATCGCCATTACGTTGAAAAATAAGAAGGAAAGAAAAATGACTGACAAACATCATTCTTCGTATTATTTAAATTGTTATTTATATATACGCGGTTTCACTATTTTAGCATTATTATTTATGGAAAGACACTATACCCGAAGTTAATCAAGATGATAATAATTTCTAATAAAAACTACTTTAAGCTGTTGGATACTCTCGCAAAGCCAAAATTCATAAAATCATAAAGACACAGTACACTAAAATAACAAATTCTAATGCCTAGTTTACACTCGGTACAAGTCAAACTATATAATGTTGATTTTTTAATTAGTATTACTCTTAGTGCTTATTTATTTATTACCTACATGTCTATTATGATGGAAAAGTATAAAACAATAGCTCGGAGTGAGACTTTCCACGGACTTTGAATGACAATAAAAATTTCCCCCGTGTTATCCCGACCTACTTAAATGTAACCTAGTTTCAACTCACGTTGAATGTCCATTTAATCTACTATATAATCCATTAATGTAAGTAGGTAGTAGAAAATACAAGAAACTCTGTTTCCCTTACCCACGTTTACGTGATATTTGGTAAAGTCAAACATACATATGTATTTCTACGAAAGAAAAATAAAAACGATCATAACGTGACCTTTCTAGTCTAATATGTAAAATAACTTATAAGTGGATAATCTTAAGATTGATTAGTTCGTAGTACAGTATTACAGATTACACGTAGGACAGCTCGAGCTCCATAAATCACAGTAGATGTACCTGTAGGTATAAATTCTGAATTTTCACACGTACCTATATATTATTTAACAAGTAAATAAGGTAAGCCTCTATAATTGTAGACGAGGATCATGTCATTAAATATTTATCCTAATGGAACTAACTTAAATTTAAGCCTTTAAAATGAATCATGCTATCGAGATTTACAGATATTTACTAATGTTTTATATGCTAGTGTTCGTACAGTGGTCAAAATTAGACTTTAATCATTATGTTTTTTTTAAACACTAAAACTTGTTAAGCTACTAAACAAAAATATAAAAAATATATTACAAAAATAAAAAAAGCCCGACTGCATAAAAGCTAACTATAAAAGATGAAAACAAGTTGACGAAGGAATATAGTATTATGCAATCGGCGACACGTACACGTTTCATGCTTGTAACCATGTATCAAAAACATAACGGTCGCGGACACGCCGGCGTTACGGTTAACAATAGATTTCTTAGAAATTTAATTTAATTTCTTAGAAATTTACCTGAAGGTGTTAATATTCGTTATATCTATATACATATTAATATTTTTCGATGCAAATCGAAATCATTTTAAACAAAACTCACCCATATATTGCCGCGGACCCCGCTATAGCGCCACCGCACTGAGCCGCCACATATAGCGCAGTCCGAAGCGGCGACACGCGTCTACGCACGCATAACGCCACTGACACAGCTGGATTCACATGTGCACCTAGAATAAATATATTTAAGTAATGTTGTTACTTGTTAGTTATCTAACACTAAGATATCTCATTTTTAATTTTATGTGTGAAGTAGTGTTCAAATAATTACGAAGCAGGTTTTTAAATAAGCGTAAGAAAACGATGTTTCTATTATGTCTATTTGTGCGCTAAGTTATGATAAAACTCATTTTTAAGATGATATTTAATTATTGCATTTGAATGTGGACGAAATTTCCAGTTTTGCTAATTCCTAGCTTCCTATATTTTCTAATTAAATACTTAAATTAACTTACAGTATAGATTTAACTTATTAAAAAGACAAAATAAAGAAATAAAAAAATAGTCTTTAAGTATGTTGTACCAGAATTAATACGTTTTAATTCTATGGGAACTAATCTAAATACCAAATACTTACAGCCCAAAATGCCGTAAAAATGTATGTATGTACTAAATATAAACTTTTATCAAAAATGGACCACAATAATTTACATAGACGATTAACGTTGAGCGCTTGAACTGCAAGCGCTATATGCACAAGTGTATGCAAATATGGACGAAATCAGTTGTTATGCAATAACAAAGCGAATCTTTAATATGAACGAGTTTTTGTATACCTATCGATATCCAAATTATTTAGAATACTAGCAGAACCCGCGGCTTCGCTCACGCTAAAACTACAAAAAAACTCTAAAAAGGTAGCTTTCATACAAACTTTCATTCCCCATTTTACCCGCTTATGGGATGAATTTCGAAGAATGCTAAAACCAAGTTTCAAGTAATTCTGATCATAAATATTTTTTTGGGTTGTATTATAACGTATTTTCCCATGGGAATGCCGTAAAAAGTAACGTATGTCACTCTCCAGCCCTCCAACAATCTATGCACAAAAAATCACGCCAATCCGTCACTCCGTTTCAACGTGAAAGAAGGACAAACAAACAAACAAACACACTTTCACATTTATAATATTAAGTATGGATTTGGCGTTTGTTATTATTTGGAACAGTATTCAATATTCGCTTACAGGCATATTATGCAGTCGGTAGGTGCATATGATATTTCGAAATATTGCAAGTATAATAATTTGGCTTCGCTAAATAAATGTGGGGATTTGGTGATATTTCATTAGTATTCCTATAGTTTATGTCGACGCTACTCATCGCATAATAAATATTAATCATATAAAATAAAATAAGAAGTGATGTATAATTTTAATTCCTTTTAATAATATAATACTTATTTGTATTAGTTGTTGAGTTATAGTGTTTAAGTAATAATAGGAAAATATATTAAAAATAATGTAAAACAAAATACATAAAACAGTTAAAACGAATAAAAGTATTATAGGTCCTGCGATGATTCTTTATGGCTTATCTATCGAGCTTCTCTTACAATAATTCAGTCAAAAATTTAAAATACTTCAATATTTTCAATATTTGATCCAGATCAATATATGATATCCAAAAGGCAAGCATTTACATTATAGAACATTTAATATTTTTCATACATTAAATATATTATACTAATATTATACATGCAAAAGTTTGTGAGGGTGTATGGATGTCTGGATATAAAGATGTATGGATATTTTTAAATAAAACTATCTTTTCTTAAATCCGCGAAATAATCCGAAAAGATAGTTTTATTTAAAAATGTCAAACATTCGCGTAAATCTAATAAAGCATGATGTACGGATATTTGTTACGCTTTCACCCAAAAACTACTGAAAGGATTTTAATGAAATTTTACAATAATATAGCTCAGAATAACAAATAGGCTACTTTTTATCCTGTAAAAATATACGGTTCCCGTGGGATAGATATGGTTTTGTTTTTCTATAGGCGAACCCGTGCGAAACGAGGATGAGACGCTAGTATTTGTATAAATGCAGTATATTCCTACCGTAAAAAATTGTTAACTTATAATCATTTTAAATTTTCTATACCTATTGCAGTGCTATAAATACCAAACAAAGCGAAATAACCACACAAAAACCAATCTCGTGGGATACAAAGAGAATGTGAACTGTGAATAATATTTTTAAATATCAAATGCAAAATTTTATTTTAAAACTGTAACATACTATTCTCTTATATTTTCTATCTGTACCGCCATAAATCTTTGAAATGAAATTAACATTATAATATTCTTTTAAAAAGGGTAATATTTACATCTATACATATAATAAAATACATATGTACTAACTAAGCCGAATCTGTAGGTACATTAAATATTTTTTGGAAAATCTCATTGAAATAGACATTATTATCTATACAGAGGCCGATTCTATAATTTATAGAATTTTTGTATGTCTGTCTGTCTGCCTGTTACCACATGACAGAAAAACCACTGGAGGGATTTTGATGAAATTTGGTATGGTGATAGCTGGTTATCCGGGTTAACATATAGAATACTTTTTATCGCGGGAAAATGTCCCATTTCGGAAAAAAAAAATACAAAAACTGCAATGTAAGAGTATACTAATATGTAAAACCTAAGAATTTGGTTTTTGGTCATCTGAACGTGGACGGAACCGCGGGCAATATTATTTTGTTTATAACAGAAAACAGTAGTATTATAACGAAGTGTAGCCAACATGAATGCACAACAAAACAAGCCCCTCTTCAAGAGAGATTTTATCTGACATGTTGAATTAATAGATTTTCTTGCTATTGTTACGGACCGTCCGATTCTTGTTTCATAGGAAACATGGAGGCAATTGAACAAAAAATACTAAGGCTTACTGCAAATACCACATGATAAAGACATTTCATTTATAAACCTATTCAATATAGAATATAATAAGAACTATAAGCATTCATTGTAGTCACTGCCTTCTTTATTTCCATTGGTATTAATCAATACTACAATATAACGCAAAAGCATGTTTATTGTTTTGTCCTTTTTTCAGGCACCTAATGATTTCCGTGAAATATATATTAGTACTGAATAACCAAGATGTGGAGTTGACAAAGCATCCCCATAGGTATCTTGCAAGGGCCCCATTAGAATTAATAGATACTAGCATTGCCCGCGGCTCCGCCCGCGTTCAGATGACCAAAAACAAAATACTTAGTTTTTACATATTAGTATACTCTTACAATGTAGTTTTCATATTTCTCTCAGAAATGAGACATTTTCCCGTGGTAAAAAGTATCCTATATGTAGACCCGGATAACCAGCTATCATCATACCAAATTTCATCAAAATCCCTCCAGTGGTTTTTCCGTGATGCGGTAACGGACAGACAGACGGACAAAAATTCTAAAAACTATCGATTCGGCCTCTGTATCGATAATAAAGTCTATTTTAATAAGATTTTCCAAACAATATTCAATGTACAGATTCGGCTTAGTGACAATTTTATTATTTTCGCTAGAATACATAGTGCAATAAACAAATGTACATGGTATTAGAAGATTAAAGCTACATATATTTATTTCGAAATTAGGAATCAAAATTTGCGAAAGACCGCAAGATTTTTATCGTTATCACTTCAATAGGGCTAAATCTAACACCACTTGTAGTCAGGTAAAACAAAATTTTATTTACAATACAGAAAATTACAAATATACTTAATTATATATACAAAACAAATGTATACTTAGTTATTACTGTTATATATTACATCATGGTACTTAGAAAGTAGAAAAAATTTGACAATGTCAATACAAAATTTATTGTGTAATCGAAATTTATTTTAAAATATATCCAAAAATAACATTAATAATTGAATTAATAGTACAAAAAATGTTTTAAAACACAACAAAATCGAAAGTGCATAATATTTAACACCATTCAGACAAAGAAAAACAATAGCATTCCCAAGGAGGGTTGACGTCAGGCAGGCGGCCGGTCGTAAAACTTTTGCCAAATCCTATCAGCAGTACACTGAAGATGTACTGCGCCGACCCCAAGTGATTTGGGAAATGGGCAGGGAGAAGAAGAATGGTACTTAGAAAGTACATCTTATGTTGCCTCGATCTAACGAAGGCAAAAGCATTCGACTACCACTCACCACAATGTATACAAAATAAATCGATGCTGTCGGAATGCCGTAACGAAACGATTATCCCAGAACAAAGTACATTAAGAAAATATATATAACATCCCTCTTCATATTTTATTATGTATCTACAGATAGTCCTCATAATATAACCTACATGAGTTTTTAACGTTTAGGTAGGTACTTAAAATTTTCTTCTTTCACGTACATACATAAAATTTATGATTCTTATAATAAGTACCAATACGTCCACTCATTTTACGAAAAATAATGATTTATTGAACGATACTTTCAATAAATATAGGATATGTCAAAACTTTTATTGCAGTTGCTTCATACTCGAGCATTTAAGTGACGTAAGAGCTTACGCTCGCCTGGAGAATCCCGGTACAGCTCAACGCATTCTTAACGGTCTCTACACTGCTACTTACAGACGAGTGAGATAAAACCATGCCTATCTCAAATTTTAAAGAGAAAAAGTTTTATTTTTAATAGTGAAAAACCAAGGTAATTTCACTTGAAAATTAAAAAAAAAAATAAGTAAATGTACGATTTTTGAAGTGAAAACTCTCTCTAGGCAGGTTTGGATGGGGAGTAAATTCATGTAAGTCGTCATCGACATGGTCACGTGACGTGTTAACGCTCACTCAGAGTGCCTATAGATGTCAAAACCAGATAAATGTAAACAGTTTTTAATTTACAAATTTTAATTTAAGATCAAACAATTAACTATTTGCCTATAGTTTTAAGTTTTCAGTTCTGTCAGCAGCCCTCATGAGTACTATTTTTAAGTTTGTTATTATCATTGTAAATTCTAATTTTAGCAGGAATACATCAATACGACTAAAATCTTGATTGTTTTTGATAAATCTAAATAATTGCGTATTACTCAATCCCTTTATTAGGACCACCTTTTGTCACATCCATACTTTTAATATTATAATATTAAAATATTATTGTATTTAATTCTAGAATCTATGTCACGTAGAACGAAACAGAGTACGAATTGGCGCGATTTTATAACTACGGTAAGATAGTTGGAACTGAGTATTAATATTAATTAAATGTCTTGGAGGTGGGCGTTATCTCATTCCCACGGAAAAACACACTATAATACAACCCACAACAATTCATCATACCTATGTATATAATATACTACTCAGTTCTGATTTTGTAAATTTGTTCCAAATAAAGATTTTTTCTTTCTCACATTTTTTATAAGTTGTGAAAGTGTGTTTTTGTCCTTCTTTCGGACTAAGAACGAAATCCAAAAATTAAAATATCATAAAAATTGGAACGCGGTCGTACGGGATAACATAGTATCCTTTGTCCTTCTCGCGGCTCTAAACTACCTCCCTGCCAATTTTCAGCTAAATCGGTTCAGCCGTTCTTGAGTTAACACACTATAACTAAACCCACAACAATTCATCATACCTATGTATATAATATATGTATAATTATATATAATCAATATATTTCATACCAACCATTTAAACGTAACTAGGATCGATCCAGAGCGAAGCGTGGGTGAGTCGCTAGTGACTTTATAAAATACACTTGCGAACTCACTTTACGCCCACGGGTACTGTTCTTTAGTTTCTTATTAAAATACAAACTATCGCTGAAACTTTCCATATAATTCTAATGTAACTTGGCGGAGCGCATATTTCTCTTTTCCTACTTTTACATTTGACTAAAAGATGTTTATCCTTCCACGACCGCGGACACGCCGGCGTGTCAGTTAACAATAGATTTCTTAGAATTTTAATTAATTTCTTAGAAATTTACCTGGAGGTGTTAATATATAAACTGAAAAATTAACTATTGTGTAAACTGTAAAACACTAAATTACGATATTATATATCCCATACCTCAGTGGAACGTCCAATGTTTACGAACATATTTCATTATTAGCTGCCATAAATATAGGGAACTGGATAAAGGCAGCAATTTAAGGGCTACCGTTTATTCAAGTCAGGATTTCGTAGTTATTCATCATCTATATGATACGAGCGCAATGCGCAGTATGGAGGTGCACCTGTTACCTCCATCGACAATGTCCATGCTTGATGCATATTCAATCCAAAAACAATAGTTTGAAATAAAATGTTACACTGTTATAAAAAATGTTTTGTTTATACAAAGGGAATAATTTCTAAAATGGAAACTTTATTCAAATAGACTTATTTCAAGCACTTTTGAATTATGGGAACTGAACCGTTTCTAGGAATTGTTGTATTTTAAATATAAGAAAAACTACACTATTCCTGAGTAATATGTACGATACGTAGACACGTGCTTATATAATTACTCAGGGATACTTATCCATATCGATTCGCTCCACAATTATAGCGATCTTAAAATAGGGATGTGACCGCACATTAGACAAAAATGAAAATTAGGGCGGACGCCGACGAGCGACATAATTTTATTTTAAAATTTATTGCTGCCAACTCGCTAACATTAACACAGAATTGTGCTCAATTGTGAAGATGCAAGCGGTCACGCGTCATTGTCACTATGATATAATTTAAAATGTCATTGTTCCCTACGTCTATGGCCGCCATTATAAAGTTATGATGAGGGATTAAAGGGTGAAGGGCGTACACGTGTATTTTAAATTGCTACTCTAATATTATACTCCATAAATAATATACAACCTAACGATATTTTATTAATTTCTAAATAAATAGATAATAAATTGAAAATTCTTTATCTATTATAAAAATACTAATTTAGTTGTTATGTAAAGGAACGTTTATGACTAACTTGTATGTGTGTTCTTAATTATAATTATTCCTAGTGTAGGTACGTCACTGCTTCTACTATGTCTTTGTAAATTTTGTTTTGTACCAAAACTAACCACGTTCGTGTGCATATCACCTCGTAAGTTGCCGTTCATAAAATACGTCACGCTAAAATCAGCTTCTTGGACCCCCTCCTCCCCCCCTATTGTCACGCTGTATCACACTTTCCGTGACCTCCCTAGAAATTTTTTGTCACAAAAACTAAGAAACGGAGTAAACATACAATGTTTCAACACATTTTCTTTTATGTAGTGCCATAAAGGAAAATGCATGGTAAGTAAAAAAAACTTACGTAGTTTTAGAGTCATTCAACAGTATATAAAATATGTATATATGTACAATGTACTGACATATTTTCTATTATATTAGTGCATATATACTAATATGTACATACATACATCTATCTACTTATTGTATTTCTCGTTAATAACCTATATCGATCATAGGATCATCGCAATACGTTATATGAAAATGCATAATAGTTCCAGAATTTTGAGTATTAGTTTTGAATCTTCTCAACAGATCGGAATTTTTTAAATTAAAGCAGGTAGATACTAAATGTACAAATTAAAATAAATCTATTGAGATAGAAAGCTGTTGATATTACATCGCCAACGACATTAAAAAAACAGTATATTTACCTATAAATCTCTTTAGGTAGGTAGTTAATTTTATATATAAAACTACTTTATGTCCGTCACTACGCTTGTGTGTGTGTGTGTGTGTGTGTGTGTGTAAGTCACCTCGGCCACAATGTGTTAATCCAGGATATAAGCTATCTCCGTTGAACGTGAAGAAGTAACGAAGAGAATTATTTATGTACGTTATTCATTTACCTCTATACTTTTTTCGTTATGTGTGGATATTTTATTTTCGACGACACGTTTGGCTCAGTTTGTAATGAGATGCTGACAGGGTCTTGCGCGGGTTCGAGTCCCGCTGGGGGCATTCGTTTGTGCGATAAGCTCGAATGTTTGACTCCAGTCATGGGTGTTCATATTTATAATATTATGTATGTATTTAAAGTTATATATGTGTAGTGTATCAACTATCTGTTATCCATAACACAAGACTCGTAGCTTACCATGGAACTAACTGCGTGTTAATGTCCCAACATTTTTATCTACTTATTTCTTTTTTACATATAGAGTTTGCATTAGAATTTTCATATTATATTAAGTAAAATTTGCAATAGTAAATTTTGCGCAAAGACAGTTTAAGAATTTTATGACTATTTTTTCAAAAGAAAGTAAAAATCCATCAAACTTACCAGATATATGAGCAAAGCAGAGTGTTAAGGTGGCTATAGCACAGCCGGAAGCGAGTGCAGTGGAGAGGAGCACAGCTGAGGCGGACGCGCCGACACCCGCTCCGCCTGCGGCCCCGCACACGATAAAAACATACAGGAAGGATGCCGCACATTCCGCAACAACAGCCTTCCATAAAGAAAGTGTCCTCACTTCCAATCTAGCCGGCACTCGTCCAGACAACACGTTGTCACTATTCGAACTCGCATCGCGACGTAAACACTCTAACTTCTCAAACAAAGTCACAATATGTTGTTCTAGATTATTGTCATCTATATTAAAGGTCTGTTCCCCCATTTTAATTGCAAATAAAAAATAATAAGCAACTTTTGTTAGCAATCACGCGTCATGTTATCGAAACAGTGATATTTACGAATTTCGCGCGTAAATCAGTCGGTAATGTCCGCTATACACCCACGCGCGACGATGAACCGGCTCGAAGTGGTTCGTCACAGCAAGTGAATGAACGGCGACTGAAGCTGAATGAGCGGGGGCGCCGCACATGTCCCCGGTCCCGCCACTTGTTACGCCCCCGCCCCGGGACCTGCACTTTCAATAGTAGGGTGAAATAAAATCAACTCTTTAATCAACCATTTCAATACAATTTAATTACACGTCATGTTTATATTCATTTCATCAATATAACTTTCTTTTTCTAATTATTTATTGCCTTAACATTTTCAGGTAACAATAAGTAACTATAGACATGACAATAAATAACCACCATGTCTATTTACTCGAGTACACTATTAAATAAACCATTAAATAAACATGTACCTAAACGAAAAGATAGATAACTTTCGCGATCATATTTTAGTCCCTTAAATCATAGCGATAGTAAATTAATTATAATAATAGGTGTACAATTGCTAAATAAACTATATAATCTAAATAAAAAAAACGTTTACTTATTATTTTTAGTAATTTTTTAAAGTAAAATTAATATCGATTTATTTAAATTTAAAGAGGGTATCATAAATTAAAATGCACTTGTAATGAAAAATAATTTTAATTTTTAGGTCAACTTTTATTGGCAAGTTGTTTTATTTTTTTATTATTTTTTTTATTACGTTTATGTTTACATACGAATCATGTAATATAAAGAAATTACTCTTCTACCTACTTTTAACATCTCCAGACTTTTCAATGATTTATTTGCGACACTATGCATAGAGATAAATAAAGAGATAATTATTTTTGTTTAGTACCTATTATTGTGGTACCTTCTTTATTTATTAAAAATATAAAAATCTTAAAAATATATCTAGTGAAAATGTAAATAAGTTTTCTAATGTTCGAGACTGTTTTAATAACCTAAACAGCGTGATTGGTTAGAAATGAAATACAACAATACTTTTATATTTATTTATTACGATTAATTACAAAGTTTAGTAAGATTTACGAAATACAACGAGTGAAACTAATCAACATAAAATCAAATCAAAATCAAAAAACAACGTGATCCTGATTTTAAGTTTGTTTATATTATGTATGAAAAAAGTTAGGAATCTATCCATAGAATTTATATGAATTTAATCACTGGTCAAAATTAGGAGAGTAAAATGCTACACAGAACATATGTCATATTTACTAGTTATATGTGATTTCGATGAAACACTACGAGAACCACGTTGTTTTTGAGCGCCCCGTTATACTGAAAATTTATGTATTTAACGATAATTTCTTTCCCAATCGTTAGCAAATTTTTTATAAATTTCCATGCAAGCCTTTGCGTCTTGCACGGAATCATGCTCCCCGTCTTGGATAACTCTTCCCAGATGTTTCAAGGCAAGAGTTTTCAACGCAACGGGCTGACCATAATTTGCCTGTAAGGAATTTTTAATTTCAAAATACATAATATTGTGCCTACTACTCAGACCAATAAAAAAGTAGTACTTTTTTATTGGTCTGAGGTCTACTAACCTGTAACTAATAAAGCTACATTATAAAATATACGCAGTCATATTGACCACCTGAATTTTCTGTCAAGAGAAATTTACTCAGTAGTATGGGTTGCGAAATCATTCAACGAAATAATCAGGCCCAGAATAGAGGGCTTTAAGAGCTCCCCGAATCCCGAAGCAAGGGAGTTCCCAGACTCAATAAAATCAAAAACTTTTAGCCAGACCAGAGAACGAGCTCAGGGTCTCATGATCATCAGTCATTTTAATTATAAGTACTTGTGACTATACCAACGAGGTATACTAGTAAAATTATATTTCATTATAATCAATAAAATGTTGAGAAATGAATTAAAAAGAGAACTTACTCTGGTAAAAGGCTCGTAATTCGCCAAGTCACGCTGGTTTCTTTCAGTGTGAGTAAGACCCAGAACATCTAAATCAACCTTTAATGAATGGCCTATCAAAATACATCCATGAATTAACGAGGAGACTCGATCTTTTACTCTATAAAAATCGCTGCCATTCTCTAGTTGTCGTTTTTTTATTCCACTTACGAACTCTCTATAATCAGTGACGGGTCCGGTTGGTTTTACATATTCGTCCAGAACAACCGAACCATTCTGGTCGACGATAGAAACACGCGCCAGTATGCTTTTGCGGTTGCTTTCAACCATTTCACAATCAATTGCGTATTTTGAAGACATTTTTGCAGTTGATTGAAATTTGAATTATTCTTTCACAATTTATTTATATATCTGAAGAGCAAACAATTTTCACTGTTCACAGAAGTAAATATTTGAATTATGAAATACTAATTAGTAATGACCGTTAACGGTTAAACATCCGCTTTTTATACTATCGTTTATTTGACACTTTGTAAAACATTCGGGAAAGTCCGACGCATAGACAAAATTAACGAATGTTCCTAAGTAGTTTAGTAGACCATGGATGACAAATAAAATAGTAGACTATCTACAAGTAGGTGCACTCTAGATAATAGATATAGCCCTTCTGTGAAACCATCACTGCGTGCTTGTTTTTAGTTTTAATTTCCCTATTATTATTATTTTTTTCTAAAGGTACTTCATATTTATTTTTAATTATTATGAAAAATTAAAATTATAATAAAATTACATCGAATTTATCATACATGCACAGTAAATTAAAAAATATTCAATATTTTTTAATTTACTGTGCATGTGATTAATATTATTTTTCAATTTTTCATTTGTAAATGTATGTAGTAATGTGTTGCTTAATAATTTGTTTTTTTTTTTAAATAATAGCAAATTTAAATTATTATTTTTAATTAATCTTAACTTTTTCAAATTACACATAGATCAATTGTGATATTAAGATTTTTGATGTGAGATATTAAGATTTTTTCTTTATGGTTATAAATATAATAATGACAACACTAAAAATGTAGATTAATAATTAATATATTTTTTAATTGTAATAATTATAATATATAATCAAATAAATTGTAATATATAATCAAATTAAATAAATAATATTCTATATTCAATTATAAAGCTAATTAAAATTATATAAAAATGTTTAAAGTTAAAAGTTAAAATATTGTAAGGTACTTAGTGCCATTTTTCAATTTTTTGAATTTATTTTGTTAATTGTGGGTAGGCTATCTGTAACAACTATATAATACCTTAGAAACATCTAACACCTCAGTTTCTCCCGTGACCATGATTGCTGTAAAGCATTCGAAACGTTGGGAACCAAAAATCAAAATAAAGTCGCGAAAAAATCCGAAAAGATAGTTTTATTTAAAAAATATTCATTAATATCTACATAATTTTTTTAACGTTAGCAAATGCATCTACGCATAGTCGCTAGTATAATATTATAAAGAGGTAAAGTTTGTGAGTTTGTGACGTTGTAGGGGGTAATCTCTGGATCTATGAACCGATTTACATGAAATTTGGTAAGAAGATAGCTTGAGACCTTTTTATCCTGGAAATCATCCCATAAGGGGATGAAAGTGGAGATGAAAGTTAGTATGGGGAAGAAATCTAGGGCCAAACGAATATAATGTTTTTGATATAAAACATTTATCTATTGACGGCCTTGGCAGTAAAACCGACTCGTATGCCGTGACGGAAAACGGCATGACGCTCACCAGCAGTGGCCTACTCCACTCTCCATCCTCTTGTGTGTGCGCCAATATGTCAGGTCGAAAATTCTTAAAACTTCAAAAAAAATCATAACTCATAAACTCTGAAAAGTCGCGTAATATAGTGATTCGGATACCTTACAATAAGAGGGACCTAAATTTTATTTTTGGACGTCAACGTTCCGATCATTTGATAGTATTTATTATAGATGAATTCTAATATTATAATAGATGCTTCACATCTGCCAGGCGTCCAACTTTTTTTCTACTTTCATTTTATTGATAAATTTTTAATAATTATATCAATAATAAATTCAAAAATGTTATAAATATGAAACTATCAAAATTAAGTAGGTAATAAATTAACTGATTAAAGTTTATAGATTTTTTTGTTCAAATAAATAAGTAAATACAAAAAAAAATATAAATATATAACATTCTAATAATTATAAAGTCTTAAACATATAAATATGTATTGAGAGACTAGATAGCTGGCAGCACATAATATGCTTTGTCTCTCGCATTGTTCCACCATATTCATCTTCTTTAATACCCATTGATAAAAACACACTTTGTCAGTACCTTTCTATCTTTATTTGTGATCCATGAATTCTATCATGATTTTTATGTCTATGATTAAGATTAATGATTTAGGTAAATAATAAGGAGGGTAGAAGTAAGAAGGACCGTTTTGTATAAGGAATTAGTTGAAGTGTCCACTTGTAAGCAGCAAATTATTGTTCGAACACTCACCGAAATAGCGTAATAGCGTAATAGTGTACGAAATGGAAATGATATGAATTTAGCAGTTATAAACAGAGTGAAGTGTGCTGGGTTGAAAATTTGCTTGTTACAATTTTAATTTTTTTTTAATTTCGGTTATTATTTACTACTATTTTCTATTTATAAATAATTGGGGTACTTAAAAATTCTGTATAATTTTATTCTATATTTATGTTTGTCTGTATATTATAATAATTAAAAAAAATGCGCTGTAACAAAGCGGAAATTTTCTCTAATAATTTGTGGCGCTCCTTTTCAAATTCTTCCACTTGCTACTATGTATTCAGCCCTTTTTATCATCCCACTACTGGGCACAGGCCTCCTTTCAGTACGAGAGGCATTAGGCCATAGTCCACCACACTGGCCAAGTGCGGGTTGGCGGACTTCACATGTCTTTTAAAAACTTGCTAGGTTCACATAATACCGACTGTCATACATAATTCGCCCTCACCTTGGTTCTCAGCACAAACTGGTCGCGAAACTTCTCTGCACTAGTGAGAAGACGACTTGCGTACTCGATCGGTCTCTCATCGTGTCCCTCCCCCTGCATTAAAACAGCCCCAAGGCAGTAAGCGCTACTGTAGTGCAGAGTAGCGCCCGTATCCACTATCGCCACTCCGGTACGACCCATAACAGATATATATATTAAGTCATCTAAATTACGAACATTATCGCGGGAAACTCTTTCAAATATCAACTTGCAGCGCTGTGCACTTAGTAAAATTTGCGTCGACACTCGCGACGCTGGCAGCAGTACCACTCCCGCTGTTCACATTATTTGTTTGAGAGGCCACGACTGGGCTTCCACTTGCGCACGCGTGATCATATAAATTTAAAAGTTCGAGCCACTAGTATGGGCGCCAGTTTAATAGGTACACAACAGTCTATTAAAATATATACGCGTTCGGCGCTCGCGGCTCTCTGCCTGGTCGAGCCACGTTTGGAAAATTATTTATTTAATTTATAACCATAAGAAAAATATATAAAATATAGTATTAATTATTTAAGCCACAATTGATCTATGTGTAATTCTCATGAAGGACTGCAGGGATGCGCTCGACTGTGGCTGGTTTCACTCGGTCCCTGTGACGTAGGCGCGGCACTTGCAGCTTGTTGTCTCGCAGAACTGCTTGACATGTTGCAGTTCTCCGTTCAAGTACCTATCAGTATGGGTCTTCTTTCGATACACAGTATGACTCAAGGTGTTATCTGGGTTACGTATGACCATGATTATGTCACAGTGCCGCGCCTACGTCACAGGGACCGAGTGAAACCAGCCACAGTCGAGCGCATCCCTGCAGTCCTACCTTACATGAGAGGCGTCACTGACAAGATTGGCTACATTCTAAAGCGAGCTTCAATTAAAACTTACTTCAAGCCGCCAAAGAAAATTAGTCAGTTTCTACCACCTGTCAAGTGCCACATCCCTCTACAAGATGCAGGAGTTTACAAGCTTGATTGTGATTGTGGGCTCTCTTACATCGGACAAACAAAGAGATCCATTAGAACCCGGGTCAAAGAACACATAGCTGATGTGAAGCACCGTCGCAATACAACATCTGCTGTCTGCAAACACAGTCAGGACCGCCCAAGCCATTATATTCACTTCGATAGGCCTCAAATCCTGGCGAAAGAAAACCGATATCGCCCTAGAATGATTCGAGAAGCCATAGAAATTAAAAAACATCCTAATTTCAATAGGGAAGATGGCTGGGTACTACCATCGTCATGGGATCCTGTTATTAATATAATAAAATCTAATAATAAATCTAAACATAACAGACAGGTAGATGTAGTAAGTTCTTACTGTGTAGATCAAAATGATAGCATTTCTGATTAATAATATTTTTTCACTTTTTCATTTGTAAATGTATGTAGTAATGTGTTGCTTAATAATTTGTTTTTAAATAATAGCAAATTTAAATTAAAATTATTATTTTTTAATTAATCTTAACTTTTTCAAATTACACATAGATCAATTGTGGCTTAAATAATTAATACTATATTTTATATATTTTTCTTATGGTTATAAATATAATAATGGCAACACTAAATATAGATTGCTAATTAATATTTTTAAAATTGTAATAATTATAAAAATAATAGCAAAAATTAAATAAATAATTTTCCAAATTCAATTATAATTAAAATTAAAAAAATATTTAAAGTTAAAATATTGTAATGTAATTGGTGCAATTTTCATTTTGTTAATTGTGGGTAGGCTGTCTGTAACAACTATATCTTTAAGACATGTAACACCTCAGTCTCTCCCGTGACCATGGATGCTGTAAAGCATTCGAAACGTCGGGAAACAAAAATACAAATAAATCCGCGACAAAATCCGAAAAGATAGTTTTATTTAAAACTTGCTAGGTTCTTTCAGACATGCAGGTTTCCTCACGATGTTTTCCTTCACCGTTAAGACAAGTGGTAATCGTGTTGGAAATAATTTCAGGAAATATCAATGAAAATATCAGAGGTGCGAGACCCGGGATTTGAACCCACTTCACTCGGTTTCCCAAGCGAGCGCGTTGCCTCTGAGCTACCACTGCCTTTATTTGCTACTATAGCGCCACCTTAATTTGCTCTCTTTCAAAGGACACTTTTTAAAACACTGAGATGGTCCTCCTTACTTCTATCCTCCATATGCAAATACGCAAAATTTCAAGTCTAAAAACATTCTATAGACTGACAAGTGACTCATAGACAAAAGATCTTTTCGTTTAACAATTAGCGCCCTCTATTAATCGTAAAAAAACACATCGTAATGGTGGTGAGCGTAGAGAATATTGACGGCATCTATTTTTATTTGTATTTTTTTTATTAATTAGAGTTAATCACATTATTATATATTGTGGCTGCGGCCATATCATGCTTTCTTATGTCGGGCTTATCTAAAACATCAGTTTTGGTTGAGGAGGGTGGTAATCAGTGTAGAAAACGTTCCCATTTAAGTGTAAGCAACGATCAGTGTAGCAAAAGAACAAAAATTGAGGAAATGAGCGTAAATGAAAAGAAATCTAACTTCTCAATGCTTAATCCAAACTCCAACGGTACTATAAAAATGACGTCGTCATCGATGAACAAACCCGGGGCAACAACCAAGAAGCTGGTTATAAAAAACTTTAAAAGTGTGTTTACGCTACAATCAAATGATCATGTCATAACCTCTGTGACATCTGGTAACTAGTGCGAATATTTTGCAGGTAAACCGAATCTTCCAGAAAATTATCAGGAGACGACATGGAGCAAATTGCGGGAGGCAGTTATAGCTATACAAACTTCAAAGGCAATCGCCTATTCTTTAGAAGAATTATACCAAGCAGTTGAAAATATGTGTAGCCATAAGGTAAAAAATTAAATATTGTGACCTTTAACCAACAAACACTGAATTTTCCTTATGTATAGCTTATGTCAGTTACAAACAATAACAAATTAATAAAAATATATCGAAACCATATTAAAAAATGTCATGCATATTGTTATATTATGATAATTATATAAATACTAAGTTATTTTAATTTGAAGTATATACATGCTATTTCAAATTCCAAAAGTTCCATATGTACTTTTGTATTTGATATGATGAGATGTAATACATATAAACTATTCTCGATGAGTGGATTAAATCATATTTTTATACTCTACATTTACATAAAATCATTACAGATATGTATTATAAGTGTAAAGTTGTTTGTTAATTTATCCATTTGTAACAAAACAAATGTCTGTTTGCACCATTATATGACTTTTTGCATAGAGAGAATTGTCTGTTTACTAAAATTGAGTGTAACTACATCTTGGTACATCCAGTAGATCTCAGGGAGTAAGAGGTTTTTGTAAAAACTTTGTTTTGATACTTTATAGCATAATTAGGGCTTTGTCAAGTGCAGATCGATTAGACTAATAAAAAATATTAAAAATAATAAAAATAAAAAATGTTTATATTTCAGATGGCATCACAATTGTATGTTAATTTGACCAACCTGGTTGAAGCACATGTGAAATCTAATATAGAACAGTTCTTGTCTGAGAGTATGGATCGACAAGTGTTTTTGAAACGCATGGATGATTGCTGGCGTGCGCACTGCAGACAAATGATTATGATTCGCAGCATATTCCTTTACCTTGACCGAACCTATGTACTGCAAAATCCAAGCATACATTCTATATGGTAAGCTATTCTTTTCTAATAAGTATTCTCATAAGATGTTCTTAAATTGCATAGTAAAGTTTGGTTATTACTTAATATTAATATACATAAAAAAGATTTATTCTATGTTAGTACCAATTATAATATAACCATGATTTATATTATTATCATATTATGATTTATATAATAAATTTGACTGAGTACATGAGTCCTGACTTATTTCTTAAGGTATCTTTGAGAAATAGTACAACAGTGGTTCATTTCATAAATACATATACCTACAGTCAAATTTCTCTATGATCATGGCTAAAATACTGTTTGAACTAGCCTGGATCCTGTGCACCAGGGACACACACTATTATAATTATGAAAGTTTGGATGTTTGTTGTGAAATTTTATTATATATACATATCATATTATTATTATATTCTTTATTGCACTTAAAATATGATACAGAAAAAAATAACAAAGTAAACATAGTTCACAAAGGTGGACTTATCTCTAAAAGAGATCTCTTCCAGTCAACCCCTGGTTGTGGAGGAAGATGTCATACCGCCATGAAGAGGTTATTTACCTTTTGGAGATGATATTAGGGTGGTCGAAACTGATTTAATTTTTTTAAATCTATTCTTATTTATTTAATTTAGTGTTTATTGTGTTTCTATCACTATTTTTTTTATTTTACAAATAAATAATCCATTCTCCACTATTTTTGAAGTTGGTCAATAAATCTTAACAATTACACCACATTCCTCAAATTCAGTATTTCAATAATGAGATTCATTTTGTTATTTTACTATTTAGTATTTAGTGCTAAGTGGAATCCTTGCCCCAGCCACCAGTATATAAAAAAATGAATCAAATTTAAAATGACTGCTTTTACACTACTGTGAAAAACAAAGAGCCCAGCCAAGTGGGATATGGCAACAAATCTTCATATCCAATATAAAATAATTAAGAAAAGTACTAATATAATTCCAGGGACATGGGTCTAGATCTCTTCAGGCACCACATAGCAATGAACACACTGATTCAGACACGCACTGTAGACGGGCTGCTGCTGCTCATAGAGAGAGAGCGAGGTGGCGATGCAGTGGATATCTCCTTGCTCAAGAGCTTGCTCCGAATGCTCAGTGATTTGCAAATATATCAAGATGCATTCGAACACAAGTAATGTTTCAAGGAAATTATTACCTTGTTATATAAATATGTATATTTGATTTATTATATGAAATAGTTTTACCCTATGAGAAAAACGATTTTCCCCTAATTAATTGTTTATAACTAAATTTTTATATATTTTGTTGTGTTGAATGTACATCCTGAAAAATTCATTAGTCAAAATATTTTTCTTTTATTCATTTTATCTCAATTTTTTTTATATCAATTAGTATACAATTTATATTTTATGTTCTTTGAACATTATCACTTTATGTTTTAGATTCTTACAAGCTACAGAAAGGCTGTATGCAGCAGAAGGTCAAAGACTGATGAGGGAGTTGGCTGTCCCGCAGTACTTGGCGCACGTTGAAAAGAGGCTGCGAGAAGAAAATGAGCGACTCTTACATTATCTAGATCCTTGTACTAAGTATGTTGTTTAGAATTTTTTTGCATTTGTATATTTTTGTTTCCTGAATCTTTTTTGGAAAAGAAAACTTGAATCCATAATATAAATTTCACTTTATGAGTTCATATTCCCAGAGAATAACAAGTATGGGTATATGGGTCACCACTACAATGTATTGAAATGGGATGGAATTAAATACATGTATTGAATAGAATTACGTGTATTAGTAACCGTTTTAGATTGTTGCAGCCGTTTGCACTTATACTATATGTAAAATTGTACATAGTTGTAGGTGCGTCCCTAGTTACGCGGATTTTATTCGCAATTTCATGGGTTTTAGTTTTTTGCGCGGAACCCTAATCCTTGTAAACAAAAGTAGCCTAAGTTACTGCTTATAACATCAGCTATCTGCCAGTGAAAGTTCCGTCAAAATCGGTCCAGCCGGTTCAGAGATTAGCCGGAACAAACAGACAGACAGAAATTTTTAAAAGTGTGTTTTATTATAAGTACTGTATATACTTTATATGTATTTAGTAAAAGGCCTAAAAGCTGTTATTTTTACATTACAAACAGATACTTCAATTTTATTTATCTGTATAGATAGTCTAATTATGCATTAATTATTTGAACATTTCATAAATATATAACAATAATTTCCAGATGGCAATTAATTCACACAATTGAGCGACAGCTCCTCAGTGAGCCGCTCACAGCCATCCTCAGCAAGGGGTTGGAGTCACTGATGGACGGTCCCCGGCTGCACGACCTCACCACACTCTACAGCCTCTTCAGCAGAGTGAAGGATGGGCTCACTGAGCTCTGTAATCATTTCAATGCATATATTAAGGTATTGTATAAAGTTTTACTATACTTAAATATACTATATTATGTAGTATGTATTAGCTTGAAAAAAGGCCGAGGTATATCCCAGGGACAACACGCTGGATTGAGAACCCAAGTGAAGCAGGTTCAAATCTGGGGTCTCGCATCTCTGATATTTTCATGTGAAAATCATTTTTCACTTGTCTTATGGAGAAGGAAAGCTGCAAGTCTGAGTAATCCTAGCAAGTTTTTGAAAGATATGCGAAGTCCGCCAACCCGCACTTGGCCAGGGTGGTGAACTATGGTCTGATCCCCCTTATATTGAATTCAGGCCCACACCCAGCAGTGGTACGTTAAATAGAGCTGAATACATGAAGACATTATTTTGAGGCTTTGTACATAGAAAAAAGGAATTACTATAAAGTTCTTGATAATTCAATTTTTTTTTGGAAAAAAATATTTCTAATTATAGTTAGTTTATTACAAATCACAATTACAATATATTTATTTAATAATGAGATGTATTTGTCATATCAAAAAGATAAACAAAACATCACATGATTCATAAATATTTTTGTATAAACTAAAGCTGCACTATTTGTGTTACTAATAGATATCTTTATGTATATATCTAAATATAGTTTTGCCATTTTTTTAATTTATTAAAATGATATTTTGCAGAAAAAAGGTCGTACAATAGTAATCGAGCCCGAGCGTGACAAGACTATGGTAGCGGAGCTGTTGGAGTTCAAGGAGCAACTGGACAACATCGTCAGCACCTGCTTCCAGAGGAACGACCGCTTTCTATATTCTATGCGAGAGGCCTTTGAGTACTTCATTAATCAGAGACAGAATAAACCCGCTGAACTTATTGGTATGGTTACGTATATTTTTTTCTTTGGTTTTTTTTTTTTTTGATGTTAAACATCTATTGGTGCCACTTGGGAGTAAAACCGACACGTATGCCGTGACAGAAACCGGTATGACGCTTCCTTGCATGTACGATAAGTGTATATATACACTTTGTTCCTTCTCTGTGTGAGCTGCGTAATGTTTCTATTGGACTTTAGAATATTTGACATGTTTACCGCTTGTATACACGCTTCATATTCTTTGATAATAATATATATTTTTTTTCAAATAAAAAGGTTTTTTTTATTATGTCATATTTACTGACTTTAAAAACCATCCTGTCATACATATTTTCTATACAAAATAGTTTCGATGTGTCACGTCTGCCAGGCGTCCCGCAACGGCTTTGTTTTATTTCATTTTTTTCATAGCTATCAGATAAATCAGATATTTTCCTGCCTGTTTATTGAGAAAGGCTATAGGTAATATATCATTTTTTATTTTATTTATTAAGAAGCCTATGTTATATTATGTATATATATATATATATATATATATATATATATATATATTATATTATGTATATATACTTAAGGTTTTTTTTTTTTAGTTAAATGTAATTTATAGACTTAAAATATTCTGTAAATATTCGTATGTATAATAAATAATATAGAATATACATATTATAATAAAGTATAAGTAATAAATATCATATAATATATAGTCTTATCTATTCCATATTAACTGTCATAACATAGCTAGGGTCGAGCCTGAACGAACCAAGGGTGAACCGTTATAAACCATGAAGTTAATCTAAACATCTTATTTTTTATTTTCAGCAAAATTTGTCGATTTAAAACTTCGTGCTGGCAACAAAGAAGCTACAGAGGAGGAATTAGAGAGGCTACTAGATAAAATAATGGTCCTGTTCCGTTTCATACACGGCAAGGATGTGTTCGAGGCATTCTATAAGAAGGATTTGGCAAAAAGACTGTTAGTAGGGAAATCTGCGTCTGTGGATGCTGAAAAGTCAATGCTCAGTAAATTAAAACAGGAGTGCGGAGGTGGCTTCACCTGCAAATTGGAAGGCATGTTCAAAGATATGGAACTCTCTAAGGATATTAATATCACATATAAACAGGTATGAGGAAATATTTTTAATCTATATATATTTATTTGGCATATTAACATTTGATTGTCATTTTAGGTTAATTTGTCATTATTTAAATTTTTATCCATACACAGCTTGACTAAAATTAACATGTATACATAAAACAAAAGTGTAAGTGATCTCAGTCTGTACATGGAGGATATATGAGAAAAACTATTATTAGAGGGTCTTTATTAATGCAATAGAAGCCAAAACTATGATTTTTAGAATTTTCGTTTGTTTATCTTTGCGTTTGTGCGCGCTAATCTCAGAAACCGCTTAACCGATTTGGGTATGGTTTTCACTAAACACTGAACTGAACTAAAACTAGCTGTTAATGTAAGCCTACTAGACGACTGCCAAGAAGATATTATAGTGCTGCGCGTGTACGCGCAGACACAAGTGCACTCTCTATTCCTATCACTCTCATACTCCAGTAGGGCGATAATTCGAGACTCGAGATAGAAGATGAGACATAGGACCTATGCCTTTACGTGTTCTACGAGGCACGGGGGAGAAACAACGGCTACTTCTACTTACTATACAGTAACACTGACTCTTTGCCGTTACTGAAACTTTCTAAATAGAAAATCAATAACTAAAGTTGGCTGAGCTCAGACTCGAACTCAGAACTCAATTTGTTCGGCAGCACCTGGCGGCGAGCTCAGAAGGCGGCGGGCTGGAGCTATCGGTGTACATCCTGACGCAGGGCTTCTGGCCCACGTACCCGCCGGCGGAGGCGCGCTTGCCGCCCGCGCTCACGCGCCACCAGGACCACTTCGCCAAGTTCTACCTCGCCAAGCATTCGGGCCGCAAGCTGCAGTGGCAGCCCACGCTCGGCCACTGCGTGCTGCGGGCGCACTTCGCACAGGTACGCACCTATACACGTATACGCGCACACGCACACACACACACACACACGCACGCACGCACGCACGCACGCACGCACAGACACGCACACGCGCACACGCACACAGGCATACCCACTGCTGTGCATACATAACTTATTGCATGTCAGGAACAGATCTTTATATAGGCTTTTTGGGCTGCAGCCCAGCGCCCCTAAGATATAACGGACCCCGTGTTGATTTGACGATGGATAATATTGTGTATTTATAAAATAAAAAATTTAAAGGTTGGGCTAATAATGCTGAGATTAATGAAGAACTAAACAATAAGGTTATCTTAATTTTCTATCTATAATTACAGACTTAATTAATCTATGATAAAGACAAAATGACTATTAGTCTAGGCCTGCCTCTATGAAATGATATAGTTCTAGGGTTTAGACCAAATTCACGGTCCTCCTCTGTTGTATATTGTGTTTTTTATTATCTTTATATATATAATTCTTCTGTGAGTGTGTATGTCACTGAACTTCTCTCAAACGACTGGACCGATTTTGATGATTTTTTTTGTGTGTGTTCAAGGGGATCTGGGAATGGTTTAGATTCACAATTTTGTCCGCTGGACAATGTTTTTTTAATTATTAAAAAAAGTTTGAAATTTTCAAATTAAAGACATGTAGACAGGACAACGTCTGTCGGGTCCGCTAGTATTATATAAATTAACTGACCCACTACTACTTATTTACTTATTTTATTTGTTTATTTATTTAGATCCACCAGTAATAATTACATTAATACAGTTGTTTAAATAAAAAACTATATATAGATTAGAATATAAATTCTCTTGACAATTTCAATAAGTTTGTTCATGATCTTTATATTAATGTTATAAATTTCTCCCTAATTTCCCAATATTATTTTCTGAGAGACCATATTTGGACTATTATATATTTTTAAAAAATGAGCCAAACCAGTCCAGGCATTCTCAATGACGAGCTTACCATATTAAATAATGGGTGAAACATTACATATGGGTGTTCGGGTTCGAATCCCGGTCGGATACAAAGGTATAATTTATTTTTGTTTTTTTTGTATTTATTCAAGTTTTTGTTTTTTTTTTTGTAAAGAAAATTGTACTTTTGACCAAAATCTCCGAGCGAAGGTCAGTGGCGCAGGTATTTTTCGAAAATGTCGATTTATTCGTGTTTTCAATAATCAACTTTATCGATAATCAACTAAAACCTAAACCTATTTTTTTTTATTGGAAAAAAAAATAAAAAAGTGGCGTTTGGGTAGTCCTAATGTTGCCACTTAAACATAAACTCAAAAAATGACTCTTTCTGACATCTATTGGCGAATAATAATACTATTATTTTTTAATTGTAATCTAAATCTCTGAAACGGCTCCAACGATTTTCATGTAATTTAGTATACACGGGGTTTCTGGGGCGATAAATCCAGGTCCAGGTTCGAATCTCGGTCGTATAAAAAGTTTTTACTTTTATTTTTATATTTATTCATGTTTTTAGTTTAAAAAAAAAAGAAGACACAAGATTGACAATCATAGGTGTCCGGGTTCGAATCCCGGTCGGATACAAATGTATAATTCTTTTTTTTTTGGATTTATTCAAGTTTTTAGTTTTTTTTTTAAAGAAAATTGTACTTTTTATCAAAAACTGCGAGCGAAGCTCGGTGGCCCAGGTACGATTTTTAATGGTCATCAGTAAAAAGTACTTATTTCATATATTTATTTGTATAATATTCATATTTGTTTTTATAATAATTTGAAAGTTTAATGTTTTAATATTAATTAAATACCTTAACTTAACAGACATTGTGTTTCTCTATTTATTAATTCATTTTTTTATGAATTTCAGGGTAACAAGGAACTTCAAGTGTCACTATTCCAAGCTCTCGTATTAATGCTCTTTAATGATGGAGATAACCTCTCTTTTGAAGAGATAAAAGCTGCAACTAACATAGAGGTATAATTATCCATACAGATAAATAAACTTGAAGTGTCTGTTTGTAAGAATTAGGGTTCTGCTGAAAAAAATTAAAACATACCTTGGGACGCACCCGAACGAAGCGAGGGTAAGTCGCTAGTCATTATTATATAGGTTCAATTCAATTCATTTAATCAACATACAATATATTGAAATACAAAAAAATAATTGGTTTAAAGTGAAAGTTGACAAACACCATATAAATTACTCAAGTGATTGGAGTGAGCCATGATCACAAATGAGTTGGGCATATAATACTTTCTTAGACTTACGCGAATATTTGACATTTTTAAATAAAACCATCTTTTCGGATATTTTCGGGAATTTATTTTGATTTTTGGTTCCCTTCGTTTCGAATGCTTTACAACAATCACAGTCGCAGGACCATGTCTCATGTCAGTGAAAAATCCGAAAGGTGGTATTATTTAAAACGAGCGATTCACCCTCGCTTCGCTCGGGTTCGTCCCTAGGTACGTTTTAACGGTTAGAATGAAGTATATGTGTCGCAGGCGGGCGAGCTGCGGCGCACGCTGCAGTCGCTGGCGTGCGGCAAGGCGCGCGTGCTGGCCAAGCTGCCGCGCGGCCGCGACGTGCGCGACGCCGACCACTTCGCCTTCCACGCAGACTTCACCAACAAGCTCTTCCGCATCAAGATCAACCAGATACAGATGAAGGAGACGGTATGTACCCACTACCTATTGTCTAAACGTGATCTTTTAACATCTGTCCAAGCTCTCAACAGACAGTTCAAGCAGACTGCAGACAACTCTCAGTTACGGCAGCCGTTCGTCTCTTTCACTCACTATTACGGGGGCTCCACTTGCAACTGTTGGCAGACGACAAAATGAACCAGTAGCTAACTTATACCACCGCCTATATGAATAGTATTTATTATTTATTTTATAATGAATTTGAATAATGTTATGTTGCACGCATTTACAACTGTGTAACTATAGCGTAACAAGTAATAAGGTGTTAACTAAACATTGATGAAGTTAGTAATGTCAAAATAACAGCTTTTTACAAAATGAATATGTAATACAAGTATTTATAAAATAACACAACTTTTAAATTTTTTGTCTGTCTCTATGTTTGTTCGGTTAATCTCCAAAAGGGCTGGACTGATTTTAAGGGGACTTGCACTGGCAGATAGTTTACGTTATAAGGAGTAACTTAGGAAGGCTACTTTTATTTTAGAAAAAGAATTTAGGGTTCTGCTCTAAAAATAAAATTTAATCATATTACTAGTTACATAACTGTGGCATATTATATTAAAGCAATTGTAATATTGTTTACAGAGTGAAGAACAAAAGGCGACCGAGGAGCGAGTGTTCCAGGACCGGCAGTACCAGATAGACGCGGCCATCGTGCGCGTCATGAAGATGCGCAAGGCGCTCTCGCACAACCTCCTCATCTCGGAGCTCTACAACCAGCTCAAATTCCCAGTCAAAGTATGTTTTGTTACTTGCAAGCTACGTGAAATAGTGATATATGTATATGTAACTAGCGATTTACCCTTGCTTCGCTCGGGTACATCCCTAGATACGTTTTAAATAGATAGAAAAAAAATAGTTATCGTGAGTGTACTTTATGTAGTTAACCATACAAAATTTCACCGTCTATTTCACCCCCTCAAAGTTTTATTTTTGCGACAAAAAGTAGCCTTTGACCTTCTCCAAGGTCCCAACTCTACACTAAAATTCATCCAAATCGGTTCAGTGGATAAGAGTGAAAACGTAACAGACAGACAGAGTTACTTTCGCATTTATAATATTAGTTTAGAGATAGGGATCTGTGTCGCCATCCGTCTGCCTCTGTATTTATATTAAGTTTGTGAGTACTAAATATAATTTAAACCCCTATTTTATATAAGAGATTTTATATAAGAAGCTTGGAGTTTGTTGTATGTCTTTGGTCATATTTTTAAACTGATGTCGTGTATAAAAACAGTAACAAAGAGATAGAAAATTATTTTAAACATTTGATTTAGATTTTATAATATGCACATTGTTTAAGTTATGATGCCCAAAGTGTAGGATGTTTATTTATTTATTTAACAATATATAGTATATACCCAGAAAGCAGTGATAGCCCAGTGGTAACGCGTTCGCTAGGGAAACCGAGTGAAACGGGGTTGAAGTCCCGGGTCTGGCACCTTTTTTCCAACATGATTACCATTTGTCTTATGGTAAAGGAAAACATCGTAAGGAAACCTGCATGTTTAAGAACCTAGCAAGTTTTCAAAGTCATGTCAAGTCCGCCAACCCGCTCTTGACAGCGTGAGTCGATAAAATGAGCTGCATACGTATAATAAACATATATTTATTCTCCTATTTCGATCCATATATAGTTTTAAAGGTATATTTCTACGTTAATAATAGCTTCTTACCGAAGATACCAATTTAGGGCTGATAAAAGAGATTATAAAATTTATTACGAATAATATACATAAGAATTTATTGATTTTATGATGCAGCAACAAATTAATGTAATGTTTTTATTGAGTTAAATAGCAATATTTTAATTATTCCAGCCGGCAGACCTCAAAAAGCGCATCGAGTCGCTCATCGACAGAGACTACATGGAGCGCGACAAAGACAACTCCAACCAGTACAACTACGTGGCGTAAACACCATCCCCCGTCATTACATACACACACCCTTCTACCCTCAAACAACTCAGTGCTGGCTTTAGACAGAATGGCAATTATTCTTTCTCTTCAGATTTAATTATAAATACAAATATGAGATCCAGTAATATATAATGAATTTTATAGAATTTATCCAGAATATATTTTTCTCCCAAATGGAGATTAAAGCCGGTGCTGCGTCTGCAAAATAAAAACTGATTTCCCACACAATTATAAGTAGTTAGCCTTTATAAATAATTATACGAATTTATATCAACTTTGTCTAATAACTTGCTGTACCGTCTCTCGTGCTTGAGTTTTAACAAAGGACATATTGCCAGTAGATTCTTCTTTCTGAGGTAATCTTTGGAAATAATTGTAAAAGAGTAAGATATTAGGTATATATTATAATATATTTATATAAAAAAAATTAATATCTAAGATGTAAAATAAACATTAAAAGTTAAGAATTAAAGACCAGATATTCCACTTTTAAACATTAGCAGATTTTCAAACCTTAGACGTTGATTCAATTTTCAAACAATAGATTAAGTATACGAAGATTTTATCGTATCTTTGAGGGTAGAAATCTTTACCAAAGTAAGCTCATTTGTGAATTCTGGAAAGGTCCTTTACACACTAGCGACTGCGTGTGATATTAGACGATGACCCTCCTGAGAAGCCCTCGTTAGACCATCGTAATGCTGTTTCTGCATCTGGGTTCAACGACGTGCAATTTTATAGACTTATTAGCTCTTAATAGAACTGAAAGCTCGAGCTCAGAGAGGGCGCCAGGTGCGGACGCAGCCGTAGCCATTAGCCGGTGCCTCGAGGTCACTGTTTGTACATTTTGTATTTAGTATAATTTCGCTTTGTAACGTCTAGTTAGAATAAACTGATGTACCACAGCTGTTTGTTTGTCTTTGGTTGTGTTAGTTTCAGGAGGGATCACCAATTAAAATATTTATAATTTTCTGCAATGGTTTTATTTTCCGCTTTTATTTCCATATTACTACTTACAACATTAAAACTGAAATTCAATATTTTTTAAGCGAGCAGTAGATGGCTGTATAAATTAATAATAAAATATATAAAAAACTAGCTCACAACCAAAAAAAAACTGACTCAAACTAAAACATTTAGTACAGAACTCTGGGAATATGCGTGATTTAAAAAAAATATATACAATAGTTTACATCTACATTGATAAATAAAACTGAACTGTCTGTTTGTAACATTAAAATAACTTTTAACTAAATGCATATGAAATTATACGTTACTTATATGAAAACCAATTTAAAAAATGTTTGTCTGGCGGCTAATTACGGAAGCGACTGGATTGATTATAACGGGACTTTCACTGGTAGATAGCTGATATTATAAGCAGTAACTTAGGTTTATTATTATTTTCGAATAAGAATTAGGGTTAAGCTGAAAAAAATTAAAACGTACTCAGGGACGCGCCCGAGCGAAGCGAGAGTAAGTAGCTAGTCGCTACACACTTAATTGAAAAAAAATATACAGCTGCAAAGAACTAAAATTTTGTATAACTTTTTTTTATATACCGATACGGCTACTTTAAACATGTTACAGACTGGCTCTGTCATATTATGGCTAAATTTGCAACACTGACTGTATTATAAGCTTTGACGTCACATTCGGTCTGACCAATGGCGTTGTGTTTCATTACCTACTTAGAATTTCCCACTTTTATTTTTAATTTTTAATAATTATTTTCTTATTTAAAATGAAATTACATTAAAAATATTATTATAGGCTCCATTCAAAAGCAATAAAGATAATAATAAAAATTATTCCACCTTAATTTAAATCACACGCATATTCCTTATTGTACCGTTCGGAAGCGGGACGTGGTGCATAAATATCTGCGGGACGAGTGCTGACATTCGCGAAAGTTATATACAACTTACAAGCAATAAATTTTTATACCATAAAGAGGGCAAGACTGTGAAGTAATCTATCTATATGTATATAAATATCGATGTGTGTATGTATGTTCCCTATGGACTCCAAAACGGCTGGAGCGATTTTGATGAAATTTTCAGGCATTCTTCAAATTAGCCCAGCGGGTGATGCTGCGAAGTTTGGTAGATCGTAAGTTTGAACGCGGGCGAAGCGGATACCGCTAGTTTACGATAAAAAATAATAATTTAAGCATTGGTAACTATTAAAATCAATTATAAATGCACATATCAAAGAGAAAATTACGTCTATTGAGCTCGATAATACTCTACAGATCAATTTCAGATTATATACAAGAAATATACAATAACTTACTCTATTTATAGGGAAGACATTGATTTTAAAACACTACAAATACGGCCTGATTGTATATCAATGAGTGGTTTTTTTTCAAAAGAGACAAGGAAAACAAATTGGAGTAATTACTGGTTTAGCTATAAAGTAATCAAAATAAATTAGTTTATGGTAGATATGTCATTTAGCCATTATTTTTACTTATTTCACGAATCTTGCTGAATCGCACCTACACCATAGGGCTTAAGTCCATAAAAGAAGGTTGGGGTTTGGAAAACTACCAACCAATATTTTCACTAAGAAACTAAGTGATTTTTAACATTATTAGTGAGAAATATTTTTCCACAAACCACATACAAAATATTCCCAGAAGAGTCTAAGTATAAAAATCTTGTATAAGTTGACTGATTACAAGAAATCTATACTTCGCTTGTAATTGAGGAGTGAGTAATGCCTTGTATAGGCTGCTTATTGCTTAATTTATAAATTAAATAACTAACTAAAGTACACGGATGACTATTTGTTGGCCAATTTGAACACTGTGTCGAGGTGGTCCTTGTGGTAGTCCAGTTCCTCGGTGAGCGCCATTGCGAGGGTTTGCGGTGTGATCTCGGTGTCCAGGTAGTCGCGTAGCAAGATCTGGAATGTGTATTATTATTTTTATATTTCGTATTGAAGGGAGGCTCCCAGCTGTGGGACATTAAAAAGGCTGGATAAATACGTGTATTAATATGATTTGCTTTTTTTTTAAATTATGTAATCAATGATGCTGCTGACAATTATTGTTCTAGCGAAATGTATTTCGTTAGTTTTCAAAATATTTTATTCATCATTAAATTATTACACTTTTTTACTCAACGTCATGAGTCTACTACCAGTTCGGAAAGAAGAAATTTAGACCTGAGAAGAACTGGTGAAAGAAACTCAGCTTGACTTTCGTTATCTTTTTTATAAAGTTAGAAATTACATTATTTCTATATAGTCTTGTGTTGAAGTATCGTCCCATCGGACTTCGAGAGTGAAAGAAACGGGGAGTGTTGTGTGTTGTGTCACATCGGTCGCCGGTCGGGAGCGCCACCTGCGCTAGGCGTGTAGAAAAAATAGCGATATTTTTAGGCGATATATTTTGATTTGATATATCGATACAAAATTTTCAATATCGAAAATCGTATCAAAAACGATATATATTTATCCAATTCAACTTATTAACGGAATAATTAACAGAATTCAAAGCTGTAAAAGTTAGGAACGAATGAAAAAAAATTACTGTATTGTCTATGACTAGAAGTTTTGTTTGTGTTGCGCGTATGTGGCGGCCATCATGCGTTACTTTAAATGCCGTAAAAACCAGTTTATTGGAAGTGGGTAAAAATACCTTCGTTTTTATTAAGATTCTCATGCAATAAAATAATGTGCATTTCATATTAAAAATACTATTAACTATTATTAAACCAGACTGAACTAAATACATTATTATTTTAAAACCGAAAATCTCTGAAAATTTGAACGATATGTCGATATTTTTTTCTCTAGATATCAATGTCGATATTAATATTTTAATAAATATCGATACATTGATGTTTTTTTCACTGTCGACATCCCTACCTGTGGGGGCACGGAGCCGCCGTGCCGGAGCAGGCGGTGGCGCGTGGCGGCGCCGGCGACGGCGGCCAGCGGGCGCGCGGCGAAGTGCCGGCGCCAGGCGGCCCACGCCAGCGCGCGCGAGATCAGGTACGAGTAGTACTTGGCGCCGTAGCCCACCAGGTGGCTGAAGCGGTGCTGCCATGCCTGCACATACACACACACACATACATATGTATTAGTATTATTACAATACTAAAAAAAATACATATATTAACAACTAATGACTTTATTCTCACTGCCTTCCGAGTTCGCACCCTGGTGTAAAATACTGTGAGACACACACATACAAACTTTCGCATCTTTTTTTTTTAAGAAATAATAATATACAATTCCCGTTGAAAATCGGTTACATTAATTTTATTAATAGCACTGTACCTTTTTATAATTAATAAATCGTCCAAAATAAAAGTAATGATAACTTTCGTAATATTAATAATCAAATAACATCAAAAACAACCCACCGTGTTGTCGACGTAGGGCAGGCCGTAGTACTGCTTCTGCGCGCGCCGCAGCACCTCCGTGGTGTCGGCGCAGTCCGCGCCCTCCGCGCCGTGGTACTGCTGGTCCAGCGCCGAGTAAAACACCTGTTACCATATATATCATGTTATATATATTACATGTTATATATACTATAACTAAAGTTGTACTATTTATTACAGAACATATTGACAGTATTTTAATTTTAATTTTTTTTTAAAGAAAAATAAAATTAAACGCAATATAAATTGTGTATAAGTTCAACATTAAGAATAATATGGTATTAAAATTAAAACGATTTGTTATTAAAGCCATCTGTTTAAAACATTCATAAATGATATCTATCTAAGTTTAAGACAAGGTGCAGTATTAGAAAATTCTCTATCCCTCTCTCTATCTCTTTCTCTCTCTCTCTTCAAGGGCAGCAATGGGGGGAAGGGGTGTACCTGCAGCTGCATCTCGCTGGCACCGAACAGATGCTTGGAGGCGCAGAGGCGCTGCAGCATGTGCTCCGGCATCGGCGCGCCCGTCTGGAAGTGCCGCGCGAAGCGGCGCACCACCTGACGGGTTCCCATATTGTACAAATTATTATTTTTTGACTTTCAGTTACATTTAAACAATTTGAGTCTAAAATTAAATATAAATTTCGTGTAGAACTAATGTCCGGTTGGGTCTCATGTAGGATAAGTAGGTAATTATTTTATTTTAATATTGTAAATAATAATTATTTTAAAAGAGTAACTAATGAGTTTCTCGTCGGTTCTTCTCAGCAGGACTGCCTTCCGAGCCGATGGTAGATTCCTCACGGACAGTCACACTGACATTTAATTTAAATTTAAAATTTACCATTCAAAATTGCTTGTAAAAGTTTATTTGAATTAAGTATATTTTGATTTGATTTGCCTGGTAGATACGTCAATGTGAAGACAGATTATGTGTTAATTCAGGATATGTTCAAGGGATATGTTCAAGTTCATTATGCATCCACACAAACCCTTTGATCCGTCCGCTAACCAAGTAGGAGTCTGCGGACTTTTACTTTGTCAGCGTGGTGGACTATGGTTTAACCTTCCCATTGAAGGGACACCCGTACCTAGTAGGACGTTAAAAAGAAAAAGCCTAAATATAAGGACTAAATAATAGGTACATTTTCATTCTTTTGAGAGGAACCCTAATTCTTTTACTGAAATAAAAATAGCCAAGTTACTTTTTATAACATCAACTACCTGTCAGTACAATCCTATTAAAATCGGCCCAGCCATTTCGCAGAGATTAGCTGGAACAAACAGGCAGACACACAGACGGACAGACGACAAAAAAATTAAAAATTGTGTTTTTCTTATAAATACCGTCTATAATTCGATATGCATTTAGTGAAACGCTGTTTTATGACATTACAAACAGAACACTTCCATTTTATTTATCTGTATAGATTCGTTTGCGAACCGACCTCCGGGCAGGCTGCGAAGTGCTCCATGAGCACGGAGGGCAGCTCGGCGAGGTCGGTGGCGCAGCGCGTGCCGGCCACGTGCTGGTGGCGCGGGCGCGCCAGCATGGAGTGCAGCGCGTGGCCCATCTCGTGGAACAGGTTGTCGACGGCGGCGGGCGCCAGCAGCGCCGGGCCGCCGCGGTGGCCGCCGCCCAGCGACAGCAACACCACCACCACGGGCTGCTGGTAGCCGGCGGGCAGCTGGCGGCCGCCGCGCACCGTGAAGTGGCAGTCCTGGTGCGGCTTGCCGGCGCGCGCGTACAGGTCGCAGTACACCCAGCCCAGCGTGCCCTCCTCCGCGTGCTCCACCCGCAGCTTGTACACGTCCGGTGACCAGGATTCGCCTGCGGAAACGTGTATGAGTGTATAAGTTAAAATCTATACATATTTTATTCTATGTTTAAATTGTAATTTTTGGAACAAAGTTCTTATCTGGTTCTCGATATGATGGAAAAAAGTGTAATAATTTTATCGTCACGACACTTTTTAACTGACTTCTAAAAAGGAGTAGTTGTTATTTACAAAGAGCACTCTGTGTGATGTTATCAAAGTATAAGTGTTAAGCAATGTATATAAGAAGTAGTTCATATGCACTCTCAAAAGGAGCCCCATTATATAATAAGCAATAGGTGATATTATAAACATCGAAAAGGAAGGAAAATATATAAGAAAAAGTTAAATTATTAGAAAAATATAGTAAAAACAAATACACCCTTCTGAAACTTTTTCTACCAATATCGATGGGTATGGAATATTACTCCATGGAAATTCATAATAATAATAAAATTAATACTAATTCTAAATATCAACACCACTACTATATAAAAATACAATTGATCACGCCATCACCTGGCAGCATCTCCTCCGGCTGCAGCGTGATGTCGTACAGCTCCTGGCACAGCATGTTGAGGCCCTCCATGCAGGCGCCGAGGGAGAAGTACGGGCTGAACTCGGCCGCCGCGCCGCCCAGCAGCTGCACCTTGGCTTGGTGCGTGTAGTACGGCGTGTCCCAGCACATTAGATCTTTCTGTCATTATAATAGAAAATTAACGACCCCACAGACGTAATTGTTCTGCCCGAATCCTTGGTTTTTCGTTTGGGTGGTGTAATTGATTAGGAAAATAAAACAAATATTATAAGAGAAATACAAATATCACTAAAATCGATCCAGCTTTTTACGAGGAGGTCAGTGACATTAACACGTACAGAAGAATTATTTATAAGTCAATTAAAGAACAACGTCTGCAGCGCCACCTATCAGGTTCAGAATCTAAGCCATCCAGGGAACATCTCAAACATACACAAAAAGTATCAAAATAGGTCGGACCAGTCATTAAGGAGCTCAGTGTCCAGTGACATAAAGACGTACATAAGAATTACATATATACAAAAAGAGAAAGTATTATTTTATAATTGTATATAATTTAAAATTCCGTACTAATATAATCAACATCAGTGTATGGTAAACTACATACCATTTATCTGTGGTATTAAAATAAAATGATATTAAATAAACTTTTAATATCCCTAACCAAAGCATTAAGGCATTTTATTTGAAAATCCAATTAAAACAACATGGTACCTGATATGTATTCTCCTTCTTCTTCATATCGGCCATAGCCTCGAAGTCGATGTTGGCGCGGTCGTGCAGGTTGTCGGACAGGATGTCCAGGAACTGGCGCACGTTGGCCGACGTCTCCATAGTGCTCGCTTTGATTGCCCTAACACATGAAAACATTACATATTCTTTATTTCTTCGTAATCCTATTATTATAAAAAGAAAGGTAATCTGTGAATCGATATTGGCATTAAATTTGGCATTGGCTTAGTAAATTAACATAGTGTTAGAGCGAGACAAAATTCAATGAAAAAAGCAACTTTATAATATATACCTCCGTATATTAAAACCATAGCGCGACTCGGAATAGTAGAAATAAATATAACGCCATCTATCGAGGGAGGGTGTAAAGTTTAATAATAATATTGATTTAATAAATAAAAAAAATATTCTGAACAAGCATTTAAACTTTTAAATAAAAAACCCCTAATATTACTGTCTCCTCAACAAAACCGGAACGTATGTAAATTTACACAAACTATGTATGTGGACGGGTCTGAAGTAAGTTTCGTCAAACGTTCAAGCGCGTCACTTGTGCTAATTTCGGACCGGTCGAAGTAGTTCGGTCACTAAGGTGTCTGCCCACTACCGTCTCATACCATGACCGTGCTATGAATGTATCAGGCACGGAAACGAGCATGGCACGGGCTACTATGCCCACTAGAACGTATCAACAGCGTATCATACCCGTACATAACGGTTTTAGTTCTGCGTATGCTCACCATTGCGCCGCCTGCACGCACCGCGCCCGCGATGCTCCGTGTACGGCATGCGACGGTGCCGGTCGGTGACGGAACAGTCTAGTGGGCAGAATCTCATACTTTTCAATACAAAGGTTTTTTTGCCTGAGACGGTCCTAGCACGGTCAGGGTATGAGACGGTGTAGTGGGCCGACACCTTCACTCATTACCTATCAGCGTAGCAGTCGAAGCCGCAGAGGTTGGCGAGGCGGCGGCGCGCGCGCAGCGCCGTGGCCAGCAGCGCCTCCTGCGCGGGGTCGGGCGCCAGGTACAGGCGGTAGGCGGCCTCGCGCGCGCCCGCCTCGCCGCACTCCGCGTACACGCCGCTCACCACCACGCTGTCGCCGTCGCTGCTGAAGCTGCACACGCACAATTATATAAAAACTACCAAAACCCGCGGCTTCGCTCGCGCTAAAACTACAAAAATACTTTAAAAAGGTAGCTTTCATATAAACGTACATCCCCTATTTTAACTCCTTATGGGGGGATGAATTTCGAAAAATGCTAAAACACGTATTTAAGTAAGTTTCAAGTAATTCTGATCATAAATATTTTTTTAGGTTGTATTATAACGTACCCACTTTCACATTTATAATATTAATTTATAAAAAAGGTTTTATGTTGTATAATAATTATAAAATACATATTTGAGTTTTCGTAGTCACTTGAGTGGAAAAAGGGCGGGAAAAGCGTTGTGTTTTGTGTTTATGAATATGAATGAAATACATCATTCCTTTTCGTTACGTTGTTTGAGGCGTTATTCTGACTCTGGATACAATAATAAAAACGCAAGCGCGGATCCAGGGGGAAGGTCATGTTTTCAAAACGTTAGCATAGCAAGTAAATAAGGAACAAAGAGGGGTGTTAAAAATAGCTGGGGACCGTTAAAAAAATAGCTTTTTTGGATTTTCGGCTTACTGTAACATTCTATCGAAAAATATTCTTTACAAAAGTTGTAGGTCTAGTAAAAATCTACGACTTTTATAGATGACACTTTGTACAATAACCTCAAAGTTTTCGAGATAGTTGCAAAAAACCCGTTTTATATTTTTTTTCTCCTTTTTTATTTTTATTTTTTGCAATAATTTTTTTATTTTCATGAAACTAGGGGAATATAATCTTCGAAATATATAAAACAACCATTTTATTTTAAATTGAAATGTTTAGCCGTTTTCGAGAAATTTATGTTTTATGGTCTTAAAATATATTATAGTCTTTAAAAAATAATTCATACCACAAAGTCACTTTACATAATAAAAAACGTTATTTAACTTACAATTGCCTTACATTCTGTGGCACCGCGGAGCGAGGGACCCTCCTGGGCTTGGCGGCGCCGGCCATGAACTGCTGGCCGGTCTGCAGGATGAGGTCGTTGAGCGCCACCACCTGCTGGCGCGGCCCGTCCGGCAGGTGGATGCCGCTCTGCTCGAAGTCGAACAGGAACAGCTCGGCCAGGTGCCGGTCCCCACACGTACCTCGCTCGACGGACTCGCGTAACGCGTTGTATAAACCTTTGTGAGTATTCAATCTGGAAATGAAAGCGAATTTTAAATTATTATTTTTTACATAAATATGTTGGAAAGTACAAGTGTAAAGTAAGTCTAAACTAGGCTATAGGCACATATTCTTAAATTCATAGAACTCTTTTATTTGTTCTGAAACCGAAACATGAAATATTGCATCCAAAATCCAAATAGATAAAGTTTATTGCTTCTGCCCGCAGATTCTCCTGGCTAATGCATTTTCTTTAAATACAACTTTCTTGGACAGCACCATTTATTATTAAGTTGAGAACTAAAGTGTTATTACAATAACATTTACATTCCAATATAAATAATGCCCATTCATGATCTATGGTTATGCCAGGTTAAATCAAAAGTAGAAGTAATAATAAATAGAATTACTAATTGGGCAAAACATAAAAAGATCAAGCACGAAAATAATATTAATATTTATACTTGTACACATACTTCTCTACTACTCCACTAACACTGATACAGGCCTCCTCGGCAGCACTCGCAAAGTGTGGCTGTGGATGTGCAATACGAACAAATTCTGCCAAATCTGCCACTTGACATAATGTATCTGATAGTTCATCAAAAACATCCACCATAGGCCTTGTTGGGTTTGAGGTTGCTTCTTCTATTAATCTATCTGTTGCTGCAATGGCTTGATCCTTAAGTGTGTAGAAACCTTCAAAGCTTGTGAGCTCTGGTTTCTTAAAAAGTCCCTGAAATAAGATTTATTATACTATGCTTATTAAATTGTTACATAAATGTTCTTATATTATATACTTTACGGTGATCTGTTGGTGATGGCAACACCATGACCCTGTTTGACTTTTCCGTACCCTTATGCAAGTCTAGATTGGAGTCTGAAAAATAAGTACTTGATATTGTGGAAGTGTTCATTCTACACTATAAGAGGGAAACCCTGTTATGAGCTTTCACCAGTGACAATTCTTTGAGACGAACAGACCAACTGCCTGGCATATATTCCCTTTACTTGGTTAAGTCTCCAATTCACTAAATATTAAATATGAGATGGACATCTGACACCTTACATTCCATATTCCAGACTCCATTTGATTTCCCGCTTTGCCATAATGTCTTCACATTAGTGGGTGATCAATAATTCTTGCATAATTCTATACAGTTACTAAGATATGGATGCCAGGCAATGCTTTATAATAAAAACAAATAAATTTTAAGACCCATAAGAGAATAGTTATAATGCATAGCTATAGGTGAAATGCAGACCTAGCGATGCTGTTGACACGAGGAGTGGAGTCAGCATTCCCACACATTCACAGGGATTTGCGTCATAACGAAACTCAACGCTTTTGTTTGTTCTAAGTTTACTTTAATATTAAAATTATTTTTATTTTCAATTCTAATTGTTGCATCACATAGCTTTAGACATATTAGTGATTGTAAGTTTAAATATAGTTATGAAATAAATACTTTAAGTAAATTTTAGTTTTTTTTGGGACTTCTGGCTGTGTTGCTCTTAACTGACTTATGTGTTATACCTGTACCCACATAAACCTTCTAATGGACAAGGTTTCTTTAAGCCATGTGAAATTGAAAGGTGATCTCACCTTACTCACCTCAAAAAAATAATTATAAGGTATAGACTATAGTTAATATAATGTAAGTATATAATTTTGAAAGATTTGTCTTTAGGAATATATACCTTAAAATCATTTTTCATCTAATGTTAATTATATCATAATTGTTACAACTCTTGCTACTATGAATGATCTACAATAACGCAATTTTAAAGGGAATAGATTAATATTTTATAGAAAATATTCATTTTAAATTATAATTTTTTAACACTTACGGTTCTTTCTCTGAGAGAATCAAAAATTGGTCTGGATGTAGGTCTAGTATTGAAAGCTGTAGCAAGCGGTGACCAAGTGCTTACATTTCTCCTTCCAGTCAACCATAATGGTTTTAGTAGCTTCATATTATAAATGTACACTGGTGAATAAGAGATATTTATGAATTAAATTTGTTGTTAACACATCAACTTTTATTTACATAAAATCAAGTCTTTACTTATTATTAATTAACAGGTAGAATTCTATTGAAAATGTAAGTATGTCAATTTAAAATTTAAGTCATACGTATATTTATTTTTGGTGCAAATGTTTTGCAAAATAAGTTGTTTACATTGGAGTTATTATTAGAATCTTATACTGACCTTGATGACATATAGGTTATAAAATCTATTTAAAAATACTTAAATATTCTTAATAATATTCGATTATTCAATGCAATAAATCATTTCTTCTTGAAATCAAAAGAATATGCAACATGGAAATCGCACTAAGCACTTTTCTCTCTCAAACGATACGTCACTATGACAATGACAGAGCTAAAGCCGGCCTCAATTTCATACGTTTAGGAATACCTTTCGAGCTTCGTTATTAAATACAACATAACCAACCTTTCGTTCAGAAATAATATTCTATAGAATGGTTGGAGTTTGGACACTAATTTTAATTTTTAAACTTTAGCTGCTACTAATCGTAATTTAGATCAATAAACATTCCGTTAACTCAAAATATTATCAGCATGTTTCAAATCAAGTAATATTAGGCAAACAGACAACAATCTTTAAAACGATTTCGAAGTACTGTTCTTAAGATTACTGCCTTTAGATTTATAAGCTTTTAACTATAACTCGCGTCATCTAAAAAGAACGCTGGAAGAAAGTGGAGAGGGTATGTTTGCGCATGGGTATACTCGCGCACAAAAGTACTAAGCCTATTATTTTATTTTTCAAAACATTTTGCTCGCGGCTTCATATATAAGTTATTGGTAGGGACATTTTTCTCTTTTCTATATATAAAATCATTTCGTAATTAAAAACTTTTGTGTGCGCGATGGTATTTCGATCTGACGAACCAATAGTGCGCCGGCAAGCATGCGACGCGTGCCCCGCTGCCCCGCTTCTTACAACCGATGTTGACCAATAAATCGCTTCTGCGCAGCTTGACAGCCAACGTTCTTTTTAGATGACGTGAGTTATACCTAAGCTACCTGATAGTTGTTTAACTATCAGTTAGAGTGCTTTACGCATATAATAACTAACTAGTAACAGGTTGTGTTCACAATATTTTAATGATAAATCTAATACTTATTTTTAGAGATTTTTTATATACCACTTTTATTACCTAGTTATCACAATAATCAGTCTAGGAAAATCTAGGTATATAATTAATCTTATATTATTAATCATTAATAAATATGATGAAGTAACGACTTACTCTTGGAAGTACATACTTAAACTTTTCAAAAAACAACATTAAGCTAGACATATACATACATCTAACTACAGTCTTTTTTATTTTTATCCACGAAAATTCACGAACACTCGAGCTTCGGCTATATTGTAGCCGAAACCGAAACTACGCCGAAACTAGATTTTTTGGCCGAAACCGAAATATCGGTCGATCACTACTTTTAAGTTGACAACAAGATTCTTTTTATAGTTATATCTTCAATTTATTTACAAAAATACACCATTTGTTTTGATAATAGTTATTTCTTGAGATATACTAATTATGGTTGGTAAATGTACTTATAGTTAATGGTTATTTATAAGACTGAGCCTGGTACATAAAATAAAACACAGCATAGTTAATAAATATGATATGATTTTATTTTTTTCCACTAATGAGCAAATTTTATTTTTTGGCACAAAGTCTGCCATTTTATATTATTTTACAGTGGTATTTAGGTTATTGTTCAATAACAATTATTTTTATTTTTAACACCTAAGTATCAAAACAATAAACACATCATGCACTTTGATATTCTATATAAAATGCTGCATATACAAAAAAAAACTGTTCTTTAGTTATATTGCTAACGAATTAACACCTCCAGGTAAATTTCTAAGAAATTAATTCAAATTCTAAGAAATCTATTGTTAACTGTATCCGCGATCATGGAGGGATTAAGAATATCTAATTAAGAGTGCCTTTAAATATTAGTATTGTGATTTAGCAAAGAATTAACATGAAAGAATGTAAAATAAGCTAAATCAGATTTCAGTAACCTTTGTTAGCACGTTATTGTATTAGCATTTTATATAGACTTCTATTTATTATTATAATATTAAAAAGAGTAAAATATACAGTTGTATATTATCAAAAGGTTAACACTACAAATGCCTTGTTTGATTTTATTGTATAAAATCTGCATATGTACAATTTTGTACATATTTGGAATTAAAGTAAACCTTTATAATACAATGCTTTATAGATATGCACATTTTTTAATGTAATTGTTTTAATTAATGCGTATAAGTGAAAATTAACATAACATACTTATGATAAAAAAAGAATCGTGTTTCACTAAAACTAAAGAAAAACATGGCATTTAATTGACAAAAACAATAATCTTAAAAGTAATCATAATATATTGATTGGAAAATTATTTTGTACATTATAATTTAAAATAAATAAAAGCAAACCTATAATTTATGTTATATGTATGTATATTACAAAATAATATTAACATGGTAGAAAGAAAAAAAAATATAAGGTAATATATACATATTACATAATAGTAAAATTCTAATTAATAATTCCTTCATCTAATACATTGCTTTGTTATATTCACAGTTCAATTCTTCATTGTAATAACTACTCGATCTAAGAATCTATTGTCATTATTATGTAATTATGGGGTTAAATGTTTATTGTCCGTTCGTAAGTATGTACATAAATGAAAAAAAAATAAAGAAACTAAATTATTGCATATGTATAGTGTCATTCTTGTAGCACCAGGGCATGTCTTCCCCGAACTTATTTCTATGTGCGTTGTTCTTCGCGTCGTATAGTAGAGGGTTGTCGACGTACGCATCGCAGGCGCTGCACCACACGGACAGGTCGAGGAGGGAGAGCGCGAGCGCGTGCTGCGTGTCGCGGTAGTGCTGCTGCATGTGGCCGTGCACGTGACGCCCGCACGCCGTCTGTAGCGATGGACGGGTTAAGTAGGTAAATAATCTGATTACTTTTACTAGCGAGGTTGGTTCCTCATACGAGCTTTCATCCCCATTTTCAGTCCCTTAAGGTATGATTTCTGAGATAAGAAATATCCTATGTTCTTCCCAGGGTCTCAAACTATCTTCTTACCAAATTTCATCTAAATCGGTTCAGTAGATCCAGAGATTACCCCCTACAATGTCACAAACTTACAAACTTTACCTTTATATAATATTAGTATAGAAGTATAGATAAATGCGACAGTTTGGATGGATGGATGTTTGTTACTCAATCACGCCAGAACGGCTGAACGGATCTGAAGGGAATTTGGTACAGAAATAGATTAAAGTCTGGAATAGCACATAGGTTACTTTCGATCCGAAAAATACACGGTTTCCTTGGCATAGATTTGTTTTTGTTTTTCACAAAGCAATGGATCAACTATCTATTCCATACAAACTTTAAAACATACCTAGTAAATAATAATTATTAATTTATATCTGGTGTAATTTTTATAAATCATATTGTCAATACCTTTAAAAACGTAAAATAAACATAGTAATTAAAATGTCATTATAGAAATTGAATTTCTTCATGTTATAGTCTAACAGAATACTTACAATATAACAATGAAGACACACCCAGTTTTCCTCGCTGTGGTCACAATTAACGCATTTCACCCCCTGCTCAAACTTCACGTCCCCTGGGAGTGCATACAAAGAGTCCAAATGTGGACACCATTGCAACGGAACTACCGCAAACATCTCACCATCAACTATTGCTTGCATATTTTCTGATAAAAAATCAACTAAAGTCGTTGGTTCTTTTTTCTCATCACAAGATTTTTCCTTATTCACACTACTACTTCCAGCAGTTTCATTTTGTCCAGATGCAACATTTTTCTCATTGACTTTCGATGAACTCGGACTATCTTCATCATCTGTCCCACAATGCATCCCATCAGAGCACTTCTGCGTATTAAGTTTTAAACACGCCATTTTTGTTTCTAAGGATTCATAACTCGATATATTTAACCCTCTAGATGGCGCTGGTGCTTCTAGAACATTCTCCAAAGGTAACGCGACTTGGAATTTAAGACTTTTCCAATACTTTTTATGTGTTTTGATAACATTATTTATTGATTCTATGGCGGAGGGACGACAAATAGGTTTTGGGTCGTAGTGGCGATGGATTGGATCCCCTAGTAAAGCTTTAGTGCACATTGTCATTGCATATGATATGCTTCTAGTGTTGTAGCCTCCTTCCAAGCACAAGATTATTCGTCCCGCGGCTAATCCTTTAAGCAAGTTGGTCATAATCCCATAGCATTCTGGCGTTACTTTGCATTCTGTAAAAAAATATATGTAAGATATTTTTTAAGTATAAAAATAATTTTCGCGGTATTTAAAAAGATATTATTATTATTTATAATAATTATCTTTTTTCAATAAATAAATGCTTTAATATTTCATACTTTGAAACTATTTGGCCACAAAAAACAAATTTAAATAATAATAACAATTAACATACGTCCAAGCGGATCCCCGACGCAGGCATCGAACCCGGCGGAGACGAGCACCAGCTCCGGGCTGTACTCGTACGCTATGGGCAGCACCACTTGTGTGAACGCTGTCAAGTATTCCGTGTCGCCCATACCTTTCTGAAAATAATACCACATTTAATATTTACTAAATATTTAGATTTTATTTATATTGGACGTTATAAATGAGAAAACGTGTGTTTGTTCCTCATTGACGCTGAACATATATATTTATTGAAATTAAAAACAAAGACACGATTTTACTTCCATTTTTATACCAACTAATGTTATAAATACTAGTTCATACACCAACACAATAAGATATCAACACCAGCATTGGAAAATAATATTTTTAACCGAATTCCAAAAAGAGGCGTAATAAGATTTGCTGGTATTTTTTAATTGCGCTACATAAATTGATGCATATGGGAACAAGGGCGGCTCACTAGTGTACAGTAAAAAAGTTAAATAATAAAATCAAAATCAACATTACACTAATTAATATACTAGTTATCATTCGCGTCTCCGCTTGCATAGTAACTTGTAGGTCATAAAAAAAATCTTGGTGCTTATCCAAGACATAAATTATCTCAATTCCGAATTTCTCCTTAATCCGTTACAGTGTGAAAAAGTAACAAACACATTCACTCATAAAGTTTTATATATATAATATTAGCGTGATTTATAAATACCTCATTCCAAGGCACATTAACGTTGAAACCTTCGCCGCGGCCCTTCCCCACTGCAGTGAAGTCCGCGTCTTTTGAGTTGGGGAAGAATTTACCGTGGTCATACCGGTGAATCGACATGTATAGGATCTGAAAACAATTTTTATTTAATTACCATGATTTTTTTTATGCTTTATTTAGTATAATATCTTAAGTAAATCAGTAATAGGATAAAATTATTAATTAAACAAGCGACTCACCCCCGCTTTGCTCGGGTTCGTCCCTAGCTTGCTTCCCAATACAAACTTTTCTATTTAATTGACATTATGTTATAACGCATTGTCTTATTTAAATGTGTCAACTGCTGGCTGAACAACTGAATGTCATTCTGTCACATTCACCTTTAATATCATGAGATTTAAAAAAAAGTGATTTTAGTAAACAGATTTTTTTCTTTTCATTTTCTTGTATGCAAAGCTTGTCCTGACAATAACAAGCACAAAAAAAAGAATTATCCAATTTGGTGCAGTCGATCGGAAGTTATATGCGCGTACATACATTTCGGTGATTCATTTTTATTTATATAGATATTTTTTTTCAACATTCCATTAATGTCAAAATTTCGACACAGGTATCTACTAAGAAAAAAACTTTAGACTTGCACTTTTTAATGTATGAAAAAGTTTGTAAAATTTTGTCTGTGAAATTCCATTTTTCGTGTGTTACACGAAAAATCTGAAGCAGCCCAGCGATGTTGAATCAAGCTGCTAATTTTTATACCTCTTTGCCTATCATACCACAGGGTGGTACTTCATCAGGCCTCAGTATCACTGACCTGATCATCCTCGTAGGTGATCCTCTGCGTGCCGTTCCCATGATGCACGTCCCAGTCCAGGATTAGAACACGTTTGAGGCCAAGGTTATTGACGGCATACTTGGCGGCGACCGCCACGTTGTTGATGAGGCAGAACCCGCTGGGTGTGTCCTGGTCGGCGTGGTGTCCGGGCGGACGGATCACGCACACCCCCGACCCCGCAGTCTTCGACACCACCGCGTCTATCATCTTATAACATGTACTAAAGGTTAGTTTAGTGGATATTTAAAAAAGTGGTTTAACAAAATATTAGATACTAGCGATTCACTCTCGCTTCACTCTGGTTCGTCCCAAGGTCGCTTCCCCATACAAACTTACACCTCCATTTTCACCCTTAAGGGGTGGTTTCCGGGATAAAAAATATCCTATGTCCTTCCCAGTATTCCAAACTATCTTCTTACCAAATTTCATCTGAATCGGTTGAGTAGTTTTGGAGCCTATTCAATACAAAAAAACATTTTTTTTGTCTTTATAATATTAGAATAGATTTAATTTATAATTACCAGTCATTTAAACATTTGAATACTATATTTTTGAATACCAAAAAATCTTCTAAGCTATTGAGATCATATTCAAATTTCAAATAACGTATTTTTTATCAAGGCGTACAGCTACGCTACAATTCAAATAGTTCAATATGGTCAAGTTATTAACAAATTAACAAAATTTCATAATTATGGAAATCGGTACAAACAGAAATAAAAAAAATAAAAACTTAGCCCAATGATAGCTCTTAAGCAATGGTACAGCCTAGTTTTAAATTAACTGTAACGGTAATGTTTCATCAAAATCAGTTCAGTAGTTTTTGCGTACAATAATAACAAACATCCACCCATCCTCACAAACTTTCGGGCTTAAAATATTAATAGGATTAATTATTTAATTCAATTAATGTCATAGTTTTACAAAGTCAAATGATTACCTGTAGTACGCAACCAGCAGCTACCGAGGCACTTTCTAACGAGTCCGGATGAAAGTATACTGAATCATATGCTTTCTTTTGTGTATTTAAAACCCTCAACTTTGTGCTTGATAATTCCTTTAGCCTGTGAAATGCAAACAGAAAACATAGTAAAGAAAATACAATTAATATATTTTAAACATCAATCAAAAAAGTATCTAGTATACACAATCCCATGAAAAAAATCTTTTAAAACTGTCACCAATTGTGTTTAGGTAATTATTCTAGTTGAAATAAATATACAACAATGTAAATTGAACCTTAAATGCAATGCTTAAAGTTGTTTTCACAAAAAAAAAAAAGAATTAAACGCGCGTTTAAATGTTCAAATGAGCGCTCATTCGATGAGGACATATTTTGTTGTCGTTGATTGTCTATCTAATACTTTTTTGAAAGAATATTTTAAACATAAAAATAAGATTTATATTAATATACCTGTCCAAATGTTTTTGCGTATGTACCGCCAATATCTCCTTGTCGGATGCCGGTCTCGCCTCTATCTGGTGTAGTCTCTCTAAGAGCCCAAACTCACGGAACATTTCGTAGATGCGCATTATTCGTTCCGGGCATTCTGGATGGCCTCTGGGATTTCAAATAATTTTAAAATGAATTAATATTATCTCTCAATAAGAATCGTATTAAGTACGCGTATTGCGTATCGCTAAGTATGTGGTTCGTAGTACTTTGTCTGTATAGTCTTCAAATACAATACAACTGTACATATATAATACTAGCGACGAACCGTCACTTCGAGTTCGTCTTTAGACAAAAACAAATCTATTCTAAAATAACCATATAGTTTATAGTTCCCATTCCAGACTATAATCTATGTCTGTGCCAAATTTCATCCAGATCCGTTCTGGTGTGATCGAGTAACAAACATCCATCTATGCTCACAAATTTTCACATTTATAATATCAGTATGGATTATTTAATTTGATTATGTTATAGTATGTCATTCTAATTTTAGGCAACTTTTTGAAATTAACAAAAATACTCACGGTTCGCATATATTTTTGTGCTTCAGCATAGCGAGATCGTAGACAAAGCAAACAGGATGTTTCGCTACCGACAGATCCGTTACTGTGAAAATAATAAATAACATCACTATAAATAAGATGTAAGATTATTTTAAAGTAATTCTAATAAGTAGACTTCTATATTAACAAAAGTTACGAAACTATTGTTTTATATTTTTGTACTTTTTGTAGATGGCATGCTTAAGGGCAAGACACTGGTAATGGTAGCACAGTGGTAAGCGCTCGTTTGGAAAACCCAGTGAAGCGGGTTCAAATCCCGGGTCATCATACAACTCTGATATTTTCATGTGCTATTTTTTTTCAACATGATTACCACTTGCCTTACGGTGAAGGAAATTATTGTGAGGAAACCAGCATGTCTGAGAAAACCTAGCAATTTTTCGAAAAACATGTAAAGTCCGCTAATCCGCACTTGGCCAGCGTGGTGGACTATATAGCCAGATCACCTTGTTATAAAGAAGTGCCCGTGCCCAGCAGAGGCAAGATGGTAACAACGCTAAAGAAAGATGAATACATGCATAAGGACCTATCTATAGTAGACTGCGACTATAACATGTAAAATTCCTTTCAATTGTATCATAAAAAATCACTAAAAATATATAGTCTATTTTTTCTTAGGTGTCTTAAGTAGTAAACAAATATGGCGTACAGGTAACCAGAGATCATTCCACAGAAAAAAAATACTCTACGAGAATAATACATAGTGATGCCGATGATGAATGAATGAATGAGAACGATTGAACTTAATGGTTTTTATGCAGTGAACTTAAAGTATTGGGTAGAAATAATACGACAAGTTATTTTAATAATTTTATTATTCAGATATTCACGATAATTCACTCGATTCTTCTGACTTTCATGGGTGACGTGAGAAAAGATGGTGGATCTGGGATACTTTTTCGCATTCTGGAATGCGAAGGCCCAGCGTTCGATTCGGGTTCACTCATTTTAATAAGTACCTGTCGAAAATTAATAATACAATGATATGTTCCACATTAATTTTATAACAGTTGTACACATTATATTGATATTTAGCCCTCATTGAAAAATAACTCTTCATTTATAAAATGAAGATTTAATAAAATTTTAAACCTGCTTTCATAAATCTGTAAAATAAAAACGATTGTTACCGTTTTATGCCATTTTTTTGTAATAAATAACATTAAAATATTAAACTTACCTCTAAGTGTGTTACATGCACTAAAATCACAATCGTATACAATATCGGAATCAGTAAAGGGTTGCTAAAAGTCGTCAGTCCAAAGAATAACACCGTCCAAATCGTAAAACAAACACAAATCCAGTAGAAAGCCAGGTCGTTAAAAATCAAACACAAATTAACACCCGTAACGTACGATATGAAACGTGGCAACGAAACGAATGATTCTTTTAGCGATAGGTGGTGGCCGGGATAAACAACTCAAAATGTCGCTTGTCTATGTCTGTTTTTTAATCTCAGAGACTAAATTGACACATGCAAATGTCAAATAGTAATTTTGTTTTATTACGTTTTAAATAAGTACATACACATTATTTCAGGATAACTTATCATAACAAAATATACTTGATTTTATTAACATTAAATTACGATAGTGGCACATGATTATTAAATTGCAAAAAACTGACAACCCACGTGATGTCAATTTAGTCTCTGAAATTAAAAAACAGAACTATATAAGTCTTTTATCAATGATGTAAAGTTTTTTTTTAATTTTTCGCCATAATATAAACGCTCGCCATAATTAATTTTTCGCCATAATATAAATTTTCTTTTTCTCAGGAGCGAAGTCCCTTACTCCATTTTAATAAACAGTGCAATAAGATACGAAATAATAATAATTATAATAACAAATAAATAATAAGTATAAGTTGATTAAATAAATGAATAAAATAGCTTTATTACTGAAATAAGTTAACATTTTACATTCCCTTTTCCCTTTTTCTAATATTAATACTTAGTTTTTGACATTAATTTAGCTTCACAATTAAATTTTTAATTTTGTTAAAATTATTAATAATTTTAAGTTAATTAAAAGCAATTAAAAAATTTCTATATTCTACAAAGACACTACTAATTTTAAAACATAATAAAATTTTAACAAAATATCGTACTTTGTAATTTAAAGATAATTTTATTTTTAAGTTCAGTTTCCATTCAATTCATTCTAATTAATGTTCATCTCTATGATTCAAAGACAAAGTAGAGTGTCGAAACGTCAAAATGTTGTGTACATATTTTACCTGTTGACATTGGTTTTGTTAACATTTCAATTTTAGCAAAATTTATGTGTTTAACTCAATAATTAATAGTTTTTATTAGTGTAATTCATAGCGTGTGTGTTTCTGAAATAGTTATAAACGATAAAACCAAATCCAAAATGTGTGATTGTCCGAAAACAAGTGATTTTCGTTCAAGGTAGTATTTGTTTACCATTTAGGACACCTAAGGAAAAACGGACTATACATTACATACCAAAATATAAACATATCTAAGACTTAGAATAAGCTTAACAGAGGCGGCCAAAAACAAACAGTTAAAGGAACAACTAACTAACTTATAACTAACATTACCTGATTTCAAATGGTCCAATTTTTCTAGAATATTCCGTTTCGTTTTATCATCCTGTACGGGATAGCAGTCTCTAGTGGGAAAAGTATCTGGCCTGGTCTCATCACCCACCCAGCGCACCTCCACCACGTGTCTCTCTTCACCGTCCGTCTTTGGGGAGTGTATACTGTAGGTGGGCTGGAAGTTGTAGCACTGCCAGTGGTTTCTATGCGCGTAGATACAGTTTAGGATGGTTTCCCGTATCCTGGAAATAATAAAGTTAAAATAATACTAATAAACTCGTGAACAATTTAGCCATGGCGGCCAATTTCACTGAGACTAGTCTTTTGCGCAGTATATATATGTGCGCAAGTGTACGCGCAGACATAAGTGCACTATCTATTTCTTTCACTCTCATACTCCGGTGGGACGACATTAAGAAGATTAATCAAGTAACAATAATAAAAAATAAAACTTTCAAATTATTTTCATAAATTCTTTTGCTGGTAGAGATGGAATATCTTTTAGTTTTTTCTTGATGATGTCGTTAAAAAATAAACACTCATAGAGTCCTCCTTACTGGCAAGAGTCATTTAGTCAGTACAGTAGACGCGGCAACTCACTCGTCACTCGGCGCGGGCGCGGGCGCGGGCGCGGGGGGCGCGGGCGGCGGGCGCAGCAGCGCGCGCAGCGTGTGCGCGGCGGCCTCGCGCAGCGCCGGCACGCAGTAGCCGCCCTCTAGCACGGCGCAAACGCGCGCGCCCGCCGCCAGCAGCTGCGTGAGCGCGCCGTAGCACGCCGGCGTCACTTGCATCTCACCCTGTAATATTGTACAACATACATATTATTAATACGAAATAGATTTATGCGAATATTCGACATTTTTGAATCTATCTTTTCGGATTTATTTCGATTTTTGGTTACAAACTTTTATCAAAGTCACGGAAGAGACTGTAGTCTTAGATTTCTCGAAGGTCATTATATATTTATTTATTATATTTATTATCATTGAGGTTATAAAAGACTAATATCATTCGTTAGTATAGACCACACATACCCACAAAATATAGAATGACTTAAAAAAATTCAAAAATGGCACCACGGTACCTTATAGTTTTATATAACATATTATTAATTTCTTTTCGGATTTTTTCGGCAATCACATAGCAATATATAAAACTTATATACGTAATATAAAATAATTTTAAATAACAAATTGTTAAATCTATAAAACATTAAAATACAAAAATACAAATGCGTAAAATGCGATTTTAAAAGATGGAAAGATGATAACATAAAAACAGGAAACACAGGAAGATACATAGCAAGTATAAATTATGTATTTTTAATTATCATTAAAAATTCCGATTGCAAATAATTTGCATTAATCTCATTTTATACACCCATTTTTCATATAAATGACAGACAAACATTTTAATATAAACATAATTGTTGTAAATGTAATATAATGTAATGTTTGTAACAAATGTTAATTATTGCAAACATACACACATTTAATAAAAAGGTAAAAAAAAAGCTAAAAGTATGTAGTACACCTTTTACTTTGTTTTGCGTACGATTATTTAGAAATTATTTGAATAAAATATTGATATAAAATAGAATAATATAAAATTTCAATGCCATTAACTTTATAACATTTAATTTTCTTTTTGTTGTGAACCTTCAGTTTTAACAGCTTTATTAACATTTGCAATAATTGTATATTACAAGGTTACTTTAAACATATAAAAAATACAATATTCTCATGAATATAAACATTTCAAAAATGAATATGCGAATAAATGAAATTAACATGCACATTCTAAATATTTTTTGAAACATAAAAAAAAACCTTGACAATAATAGCTACCATTAGCACCCACGAAAAGTCGATTAAAACTCACTTTTTCGTCACCTAGTGCTGAATCAAACCCCGCGGAAACAATAACCAGTTGCGGCGAGAACTGTAAGATACGTATACATATAGTAAGTGAATAAATAGTGATAAATCGTAGTACCTCCGGACAGCCGAGAGCCGCGTCGAAGCCCGCCGACACCAGCACCAGCTCCGGTTGGTACTGCGGTCCAGGACAGTGGGAACTATTAGTCATTACTTTTTTTTTTTAACAGAAACATGCCAATTTTATAATTTAGATGAGTAATTTTTTATTTTGTTTTTTTTTTCTTAGTTCAATTATAATATATTAAGAATTCAAATATCATGTCGGGGTATTCAAACCCAATTCTTATTCACTTAAAAATAAAATATGGAAATTTTATTGGTCAATGTTTTAATATTTTTTACTTAAGACTAGTCAATGCCTGCTGTTTAGTAAGTCGAGCGACGGCAAAAGAAACCTATGCCCATCCGAATAATGTAATCCATGTCTTTGGCAAATTTTATCAAAATCAGTTCAGTGGTCTAAGCATGAAAAGGCAACGAACAAACAGACAGACTTTTATTATATTCATATATACATATATTTTTTCAATTTTTGTATATTTTGTGTACAATTAAAACAAAATAAAATTATAAGCTAACATCTCACCTCCATCATCATGGGTAATAAGAGCTGTTGCCATATTGCGAGATAATCGGCGTCCGTCATGCCGGTCTTGTTGAGGGGCACGTTGAAGGTGTACCCCTCGCCGCGGCCGCTGCCCGTGTAGTGGAAGTCCGCCTGCCTCAGGTTGGGCCAAAACGCGCCGTGCTCGTAGCGGTGTATTGAGAAATACACCACCCTGTATATGTAGAAACAAGAATATGTTGTAGTCCTTTCTTAGATTTATTTATGTACCACAAAAAAAAATATATAAAATAGAAAACAAAAATACCATGTGTACAAAGGTGACTTATCTCTTTAAGAGATCTCTTCCAGAAACACTCGAGCGTGAGAAAAAAATAACGAGGTGCGCTGTAGGTACAAACTATAAACATCAATTATTATATAAATATATTATATACAGATATACAAACATACATACATACATAGATACAATACATCATACACATACATTAAGAAATCTATACATATAATAAAATTGTAACTAAGCCTTTCCCGCACTAAAAAGCATCCTTTGTGTTAACCCAGATAACCAGCTACCATCATAAAAAAAAAACATCAAATTCTAATGCGTTCCCAGATGGACAAACAGACAGACAAAAATTCCAAAAACTATAGATTCGTCCTCTATATCGATAAAAATGACTATTTCAATAATATTTCCTAAAAAAATATTCAAAATACAGATTCACTTTGTTAGAATTTTATTGTAAGAGTAGATTATAATATTATGTATAATGGAATAGTAAAATGGTTATACATATTTATCTTCATTAATCGTATTTCAATTAATAGAGAAGACTTCTGGTCGCACATTCGTTTTGTCTTTTCGCTTTTCCTCTGTTTTTAGCTGACAGCTGGCAAAGAAACACTCAGTCCATTTGACATTTTAAAGAAAATTATCTTTTCGGATTTATTTTGATTTATACGTCCAATTTGATCATTAATGAGAATGAAAAAATAGACACTAGACGATTTTTTGAGCTTTTAATTTTTTCATACTAAAACTTACCTTGGGTCATCATAGAACATCTGCTGTGTAGCTTGCCCGTGGTGCACGTCCCAGTCAACGATCAGTATTCTGTAGAAAACATATATTTTTATTTATATATTAACATTCTGTATTTCAAATAATATTTGTATGTTGTTTATGTTGTTTGTAGAACTATTAAAGTTCTTTATTTGCTATGCACATTGCTATCATTTATATACTATCCACTTTCTTATCGTGAGACGATAAGCAGCCCTCTTCCTAGAAAGGCGTTATAAATTACATCACAATATTCCGAAAAAAATGCAGAACATAACGGCCAAAATCGCTTTCAGTTATCGAGAGTGCGTGCGTACGCACAGATAGACACTCGCCATGATCTTCCTTTTACATATTACACATTACAAAAATATATTAAGAAACATAGAGTATCCTTGTTACAGACAGTGCCTACCCACTATTTTACAAAAATGAAAGGATCATATATATTTGAATGTTCAATAAACTTTACAATTATTACTAGTCATATCCTTACCGTTCTAATCCTCGTTTTTCTATGGCATGTTTGGCAGCAAGTGCCACATTGTTGTAGAAGCAGTAGCCGCAGGGCTCCGCCCTCATGGCGTGGTGTCCCGGCGGCCTCACAAACGCTACCCCATTCTGAATCTCTCCAGACACTATCCTGTCCACCATATCTATTGTTGAGCCAGCTGCGATTAATGCTAGTTCGTGAGTGCTCTGAAAATTATAATTAAAAAATAAATGCTTCAACAGTCTTAATATGTGAATACTAGCGGCTCACCCTAAAACAAAAATAAACCTATCCCACGGGAACAGTACATTTTTCTGAGATAAAAAATGTGAATGTAATAAAACAAAATCTGGAATGCCTGTTTTATTCCAGACTATAATCTATCTCTGTGCCGAATTTCATCCAGATTCGTTCAGCCGTTCTGGCGTGAAAGAGTAAGAAACATCCATACTCACAAACTTTTACATTTATAATATCAATACAGATAGGATTAAATAATAATTCAGTCCTTTTTAACCTCCTTCTACTTTGAACGTAGCCGAAGGCTGTCAGGTCATAGTACGTACGTTAGGCAACTACGAATTGGCGGACATGTCCTTCAAAAACATTTTTTTTTAAATTAATTATTTTGTTTTATAATATTTATATTTAATAACGACTAGTATTCAGCCCTTTCTTAACGTCCCACTGCTGGGCACGGGCTCCCTTCAATGCGAAGATCAGACCATAGTTCACCACGCTGGCCAAGTGCGGGAGGACTTTACATGTCTTTTGAAAACTTTCTAGGTTCTCTCAGACATGCAGGTTTCCTCATGTTCTTTTCCTTTACAGCGAAACAAGTGGTAATCGTTTTAAATAAAACTATCTCTTCGGATTTTTTCGCGGATGTATTTTGATTTTTGGTTCCCCACGTTTCGAATGCTTTACAGCAACCATGGTCACGGGAGAAACTAACATTTTAGATGTTTCAAAATCATTATATAGTTGTTACAGACAGCCACCCACAAAATAACAAAATGCATTCAAAAAAAATTATAAATGGCACCAAAGTACCTTACAATATTTGTTAATTTTAATTTTACACATTTTTATATAATAAAGAAAATATATGTTTTATAATAATTTTTATTTAAAATGTCAAATATTATAAATCTAAGAAAGTATAATCTAAGTGGTAAATAATCATTTTCATTCACTTGCACGCTTCACTCTTATATACTGGTATTTTTAAATTTATCATTAGTATATAATATTAAAAAAATCTATAAAAGGAAATATACAATAGAGACTTACTGGACTAATATAGATGGCGTCATATTTAGAAGACAATTTCTCCAAGTACTCTAAATCATTATTCTGGTGGGTAGTCTCCAACATGTCGTACACTTCCTTTGAATGCAATGGGAGTAGTTCTTCTAAAGTAGCGGCTCTTGGTTCAAACTTTACACATTGGTCTATCAAGCCTAATTCTTCACATCTTAAAGGAGAATGGTATTAAATAACTATCATTTATATTATCCAAATATATTATAATATTTATATAGAGCATATTGACCTAAATGTGTATAGGAACAACATAATTAAAATTAAACCTTTACCTAATTGGTCAATTTTCACTTTTATTTCAAATGTTTTATTTGGCTATACAAATTATTAAATTATTTTTAATTAGCCGCTCAGCCTCGTTTTGCTCTGGTTCGCCTTTAGAAAAACAGAAACAAATCTATCCCACGGGAATTATACATTTTTCCAGGATAAAAATGGAGACTACAGTCTATCTCTGTGCCAAATTTCATCCAGATCCTTTCAGCAGTTCTAGCATGATTGAGTAACAAACATCCAAACACCCATCATTTATAATATTAGTAAGATAAAATGTTATCCACAGTAAATAGTATTACCTATTAATGATACTAATAAGCCTCTCAGGACATTCGGGGTACTTGTCATCCCATAGGCATTTGTGTTCTGCCATACGAGGCTCCGTTACAAATCCTGTTGGACCTCTGACTTTCGCTTTTGATTCCATTGCCTTAAACATTAAAGAAAATCAAATTAAAAACTGTAACATCATAATTTTTAAAGAAAATAAATTTATAATAACTTACTACTCACATACTAACATTTTATTAATATGTTAGAATACTCTCAGTACAATAAACTGGATAATATTACATAAGATTAGTCTCTTACTTATAAAATAGAATGACAACAAAATAATCATTGTTGCGATTTAATACTTACAATTTGATAATGATCTCGCAAAATTGTTTCAACAGGTTGCTTCCTCTTTTGCTGAGCCTTCTTTTTAGCAGCTATCACCAAAGCTGATGGCTTTAAAAAGATAAAACTGTTTCAATTCGCTGTGCATTTGAGTGCTTATCAATGTGAGATAAATATTATAATCACTTTAATACTTTGTATACATTCAACAAAGCGGATTCACTGTATATGTTTTTATGTATTGCATTTACTAGATATGTAATATGGAAATTATATAAAAACTAATAGTATAAAGAGGCAGAGTTTGTTTGTTTGAATGCTATTTGTTATATAATAATACTATGAGTGTGTATGTTAATAAATAACAGTTTATTAATAATATTAGAAGGATTGTTTTCAACTTGGTATACATAATATTTTAAACAATGTTAATAAATAATAATACATTTTTTTTAATTCAATAATATTTTATAGGGTTTATTGAGTTGTTGACCTCATAAAACATTTTTTTAACAAATTCATTTTTTTTAGAGTGAACAAGAAGCAAAAGAGAAACCTCTGTCATAGTAACTAATCTTTAAAGCATAATATAGCAAATAGATTGCAGATACAATGTAAAGTTATTGAATTAGAGAATCAAGCACTTTATGTATTATTTTTTTAATAACTGAAGCTGGGCTAATAGGTTAAATAGCACGATGAACTTCTTACTTTAGCGCCGGCAGACATGGCACGTGTTTGAATTTTTGCTTTTCTTGCTCCATTCCGAGTAACAACAGATGATGGAGGAGTCTTCTTAACGTCACCGGTAGAACGGCGTGCCGACGGCGATGGTTCGGACTAAGCAAAACATTAAAAATAAACAAACTTCGACTGAACTTAATAAATAAACTTACTAAAGTACTTACCATTGCACGTAATGGTTGACTAGTCGAGGTCACTGACGCAAGAATTTGATCTTATTTACTGTTTAACATAAACCTACACAGTCATTGTTGAATAAATAAAACAGACCGTTCCGAACACTTCAAATTTATGATTACCTATTGCAATTATTTAATTTGACATAATACCTATTTGAGATTGACATTTAATTTTACAGTTTTATAATAAAATCTTCTTCATCATGGATTTGTCATTTGACGAAGAATTTATATTGGATATATCTTCAGAAAACTATTATGAATATATGAAATTTTTAAATTAATTATATAGAGAGTAAAATATGATATATTCTTTTGTATTACAAAAATCATACACATTGTTTTTGAATTATGTATTGTTATTTGACAGTACAATAGTACAAGTTGTAATGTTTGTTTATCAAAACTCAAACGTCAAAGTCAATTCTACATTTTTCAAAATAATTCAAACAGCGAGCAAATATTAGATTGATTCCTATTGGTGTAATCGCAGGCTGCTTATCTCATATCAATGAATTTCATTTAGTTTCCGTATCTTATCGAAGGCGCCAAGATAACATGTTTTTAAAAAAAGAAATTTTTAAAGCAATATCATTTAAAAATCCTGTAAAACTACCTTTATCTTATTGGATATTGGTTGGTATAAGATTTGCTTTAACGTTACTTCCACAGAGGGGATACATACATCCAGACGAATATTTTCAAAATGTAGAAGTAATAGCAGGTTGGTGTAAACACTTATATTTTTATTTTAACAAAAATTTTGCTATATAAAAGTTCACTATATGTGAACTACTTTAAAATCTCTAATATATTTTTTTATTTTTCAGGAGATATCTTTATGATTGATGTAGCCAGGACATGGGAATTTAATCCTAAGTTTCCGATTAGAAATATCTTTGTACCCAAAATGATTTTGGGTCCACCACTTCATTTTATTCGCTTGTTTAACCCATATGCAAAAGAATATCTTAATGTTGATCTTAAAACACCATATTATTTGCTTGTTATTCCAAGATTATTCATCTGTTTTCTCTCACTTATTAATGATTACTTTCTGTATAAAATATGCCTATTGTATGGACAGAATTTTAAGAACAGACTTAAAATATTTGCAAGCTCTTATGTAGTACTTGTGTATTGTTGCAGAAGCTTTTCCAATGCTTTTGAAATGATATTTTTTTCACTTCTACTTCTGTTAGTGGCCGAATGTATGTTTAAATCTGATAAGGTAATATATCACAATGAATTTTTAAATGAAAAATATAAACAAGCTAAAAATGCAGTTGAAAAAGTAAAAATATTTAAACTGCAAACACATTTGCCTCAACATTCATTGAATAGAGTTGTAACAATTGCGGCAGTAGTAGTAATAGGCATTTTTAACCGACCAACTTTTGTTGGTTTTGCTTTTTCTCCAATTTTCTTCTGGCTGCATAGAGGCTTGGGCTCCAAAGTTGTTGGATTTAAAGATTTCCATTACAGAATCTTCTCATTAATTGTATGTGGAATACCTTTTACATTACTGCTTATTATAATAGATTCTGGATACTATGGATACTTAACAATGGCTGATATTGAATCTATACAAGTCTCCTGGGAAAATTGGGTTGTTACACCCTTAAATTTTCTAAGATATAATTCTGATACAAGAAATCTCATTGAACATGGACTACATCCACATTGGCTTCATCTTGCTGTGAATGTTCCACTCCTGTTTAGTGTGTTAGGAATAATGGCCATCTGCACATTAACAATGCAAATTTACAGGTAATTAAATTTAAGGATCATTTATTTTTAGGGTTCCTTACAGTTAAATAAAAAATGAGCCCAAATCTATAGTTATTTTAGTGCATGCAATTTGTTACATAAAAAGAATAATTAAATATTTACCCATCTATTAATTTATTGACCGCAAAAATTATATTTCACGTTAATTAAAAGTATTGTAAGTCGCGGCAATTCCGCAGCGCATATATTATCAATGCAGTTTACTTTAAAAGTCATAAGTTCGATTTTCTTGTCAGGTCTATAATAATTTGATTAAATAGTAATCTAAAGCTATAACTAAAAATAAACAATTCTTGTATTATTTTAATACAGATTCGTCCGTGGACAATATAACAAGCTACCCAGGATCCAAAGCATCACAGGCCTCATGCTGTTTTCACTGGTTATTCCTGTTGCAGTGTTATCTCTATTTCCACACCAAGAAGCACGTTTTATTATACCTATACTAGTACCATTAGTATATTTATATGGAAACAATTTATATAGCAATGAAAGTGATTCACCAAGTTTCAAACGTCTGAAAACGGTCCTTCGTTGCGTTTGGTATATATCCAACATTATTTTGACAATATTCTTTGGTTTCATACATCAAGGAGGCATTTACCCTTTTACGAGCAATCTCCATCGGGAAATCAAAAATAATTATGGCGTACATACTCACGTTATCACAACACATAGCTATAGTATACCGACATTCTTACTCCAATTGGAGAGCACGACAAAAATTTACAAAGACAAAAAAAGTGGCTACACTTACAAACTAGCTCCGACAACATTCCTTCATAAATACGGCTCGATGCCTATGAACGAACTGTTCGTAAAAGTTGATAATGTATTAACAAATGCAGAAAAATTGTTACACAAGAACAAAAGGCAGTATAAGTTTTATATTGCATCGCCTTGTTCTTTAGAACGTCAAATTAGAGAAGAAGCTTCTAAATATAATTATATTAATTTAGTGGAAGATTTCACGTACTACCCCCATTTTTGTTCGGAGGCGTTGCCCGAGTTCCCGGGAAGGTACGACCAATTCTGCTCTGATAATAACATAATAAAATCAAATCAATCTATTTCTGTAGATCTGACAATGTTGCAAAGGATCTCTTGCTATTTAAAAAAATTCTGTCTAAGAGTGTACAAAGTGAGCCCTTCGTCGAAAATACATACGGGTGATTAGCATACGGCTTTTGCGGTTTTGTATTTTATGGCTATATTTTTATGCTTAATATTATTTTTAATATGATAGCACATGTTGTTTCAAGTATTTTTTGTAATTTGATACAAAATGTGATACTTAAATTTATTAATGAAATTCATTAAAAATGAATAAACTTATTGATATTTTGTAAGTAATTGCACAGCTTTGAAATATTACTGCTATAATAATAATATGCTATGGACTTATAATCAATGGTTGGCGTAAAAAATAATATTTTATCCGAACTTGCAATGGTTAGCGCAATGAGCTTTTGAATTGTATTTAACTCATTTTAAGACCAATCTCTAACAGAGGATGTTTTTAGTGGAAAACAAACCCGCGGTTTCTACAATTTTGACGACACGTTTGGCTCAGTTTGTAGTGACCTTACTTGCGGTGCCAGTGGTCGCGGGTTTGAGCCCCGCTTGGGGCATTCATTTGTGTGATAGGCACGAATATTTGTACTCTGTCATGGGTGTTTATATTTATAATATGTATGTATTTAAAAAATTATATATGTGTAGTGTATCAACTATCTGGTATCCATAATACAAGCCTCGTAGCTTACTATGGAACTAGATGGTGCTGTGTGTTAATGTCCCAACTCCCAAGGTATTTATTTATATTATCTATTTATTATTAATTAAGTGCGGCACTTCTACACTAAAAATGAAAACACCTTTTAATAGGCATTTTAGTATAAGATTTTACTTAAGTTTTTAATTAAACCGGTGAAACCAAAAGAAAATGTTTTTTACAAAAAATTATATCAAAAAAATTATATCTTGAGTTTGAATCTCTTTTTATTAGTGATTAGTAAAAAATTTTTTAATTGTTATGCAATCATTGTCAATAAAAAAATACACTTTAAAAATAAGCTATTTCCAAATTTTCAGGATAACGAGATACAAAATTACTTTTATTATGTTTGTATAGTTTTATGCGTATTAGCGTATAAAAATTTTTGCTATAAGGAGAAAAAAGTGATAAACCTATTTGCACAGTAAAATAGATTCTTCACTTTTTCAGCAAATAACAATTTGTTCCGTGTATAATACCCAATAACTAGTATATAATGGTTAAAAAAATGTTTTTTTTTTTATGTTTAAAAATAAAAATACATTTAAATATTACGTTAAAATGTTAATAATGATCTGTCTAGCTAGTCGTATAATACTTTATGAATAAAATACTCTATGTACTTCAACAAAGGCCATAAATAAACCATGCACTGATATAATATTATGTAACATTATGTTTATATTTTTTTTGTAGGTGTAATTTAACTTAATTTGAAAAGTTATTTTTATATTGATTTTAAATCTAAAATACTTTTATTAAAAGTTATTTATTTTCAAAAGGATTTATTTTAATTGAAACCTTTCAGACTGTGATATTATAGGTTCTTATTGAATCGTGGTAATTGGTAAACTTAAGAAATTATTATAGTTAAAAAAAATGATTATTATAGTACCTGGGCGACCGAGCTTCGCTCAGAATTTTTGGCCAAAAGTACAATTTTAAATTTGGCTTAAAAACAGAAAAAGTAACAACTTGAATAAATATAAAAAAAAGTAAAAAACTTTGTATCCGACCGGGATTCTAACCCGAGCACCTGTGAATGACAATATTGCGCTTTGGCCGCTTGACCACGATGTTTATGCATGAGCGGGCGAAATTAGCGACCATACTTTGCGTGGAATAATGCGAAAGAAAACTGCATTAAAACTTGAAAACACGCGTTTTTCCAGACATAAGACTAATTTAGATCGATTTTTCGCCCCCGAAAACCCGCACATACCAAATTTCAGCGAAGTCTTTAAAGCCGTTTCGGAGATCGCCCGTATATATAAATAAACTAGCGATTCACCCTTGCTTCGCTCGGGTTCGTCCCTAGGTTGATTACCCATACAAACTTTCATCCCCATTTTCACCGCAATAAGGGATGATTTCCTGGGATAAAAAGTATCCTATGTCCAGGGTTTCAAACTATCTTCTTACCAAAATTTAACTAAATATTCAGGTTCAGTATATCCAAAGATTACCCCCTACAACGTCACAAACTCACAAACTTTACCTCTTTATAATATTAGTATAGACAAATATACAAGAATTGCTCGTTTAAAGGTATTAGATAAACTAAGCCACATTGTACTATGTACATTTTTCTGTTTAATCTACATAATTCTATATTCTAACTATCCGTGTGCACGATGGGGAAAAAATATCTTTCGTGCGTTATGTTGTTTTTAAACGAAAATTTGAAAATTTAACAGCATGTATGGAGGGTAGAGATAAGGATAATCGTATTATATAAGTTGAAAAAGATCCAGCTATATGCGGAAAATAGAGGTCACTGGCGTACAAAAATCTACGACATGAATTTTAGCTATAATATTATACTGAGTGAAATGTGTTGAGTTCAAAATTTGCAAAATTTAAAATTTTTCATGACTAAAGTGGTTAATGAAATACTAGTATAATGAAAACTATTTCCGTAGTCGAAAATAATTTAGGAAATATAACCATCTTTAATTCTCTACTCTAATATGTTTTAGCGCTTCCTTTAAAATTTATCCTACGCTATAACAGTGCCACCTTTATTAGACGCGTTTCGACGGACATTTTTTCATGCCTCCTTACCTCTAGCCTCCATTTTGCATGTAATGTGACGTTCATTTGTTTTTGTGTAAGTGACAGTTGACTTTGAGTTTTGACATATTTTGTTAACGTGCGTGATGTACCGACTACCGACTATCGTACTTAAAATTATTTTAATAATTTAATTTTATTTGTCACCATGATGATTATTACTCAATAGTTAATAATTAAGTTTATTGTGCTTTATTTAAAAGTCGTAACCATTTAGATATATATAAATAAGCCTTTTATTCTTACAAAATGTCAGGCACTCGCGAAGAAATGGTTAAATCTGCTCTGAAATTATGTTTAAATGTTGTAAAATCTTATGAATGGTTATTAGATCTCTATGTTTTGGTTTGTACATTTCCTTTTTAATAATCAAACAGCGCAGTGTTCATGAAAATACACAATTAAATTGATTATTTTAGGACTTTTTCGTTGACGATCACTGGATGAAGCTACCAAAGTTGTGGCGAGATTCTTTCTCAGAAATGGATCCACAAGACCTCGGCAATATCCTTATTGGTAAAGAGTCGAAATACGTATTACCTCTTTCATTTTTATCTTTATTAAAATGTATATCTAGTTTGAGTATTCCACGACATGGAACTTATGAATATAAGAACACTCCAATAATTACTGCTGAAAGTGTGTGTGGAAATCATCCAAAACTAAAAAATCTCTATTTAAAGCATGTAAAACTAAAAAAACGACATGAAATTAGCATGATGTCCGATTTTGTTTATCACATTGCAAAGCAATGTGAATGTAATGGAGTTTTAGACTTTGGATCTGGTTTAGGTCATCTTGTGAGGATATTAACTTATAAATATAATCTATCAACAATGGGCATAGAAATGCAGACTAAGTTATCTGAAGAAGCTAGGTATGTTATTGGTATGTATACTAATGTATTAGATTAAAATTTTATTGAACTTTTAATAATAATTGGACATAATTAAGTCTATTTTTAAAATCATATCTGTCTGTTTTTTGCAAGAAAACTACTTGATATTTCATTTTAAATTTTCTACTAAATTTATATTTGCACAATAACATCAATGTGTATGTATCAAAGGTTAATAAACTGAACTTGAAATTTTCAGGAAACTTGATCTAGAATTGGAGTACACAGTGAAAAAATACATATCTGAGGAGTCTATATCTAAATTGCTGCGACCAATTCACTTTAACATAACTTTATCTTCATTAGACCAATTAAATGAAATATCATTGTCAAAACATTTGCATAATTATGGGTTAATAGGCTTGCATCCGTGTGGAGATTTAGGTCCTTTATTGATAAAGCATTTTCTCAGTTCAGAGAAAGTTAGATTTATATGTGTTGTTGGCTGCTGTTATATGAAATTGTCAAATAATTGTGGATATCCTTTGAGTCAATATGCAAAAAGCAAAGATAGCCACTTGTCATATGTCAGTAGAGAAATAGCGTGTCATGCAATTGAAACATATACACAGAAGCTATGCATAGGAGACTATAAAGATTTGAAGGTATCGTCTCTATGTAAAAATACATATATGTATATTTTTTCAAAGCAAACATAATATAATATTTCATACATATTACTAGTCCATACATATAATAAAACTGTAACTTAAGTTGAATCTGTACATTGAATATTTTTTGGAAAATTAGAAGACATTATTATAGATATAGAGGCCGAATCTATAGTTTTTAGAATTTTTGTCTGTCTGTCTGTAACCGCATCACGGATAAACCACTGGAGGGATTTTGATGAAATTTGGTATAATGATAGCTGATTATACTATTTAGTGTGGGAAAATATCTCATCTCTGAGAAATCTATACTAAACACTAAAACGTAAGTAGGGACAAACCTGAGCGGAACGAGGGTGACTCGCTAGAGACTAAATATAATTTTCTAGGTACACGCATATAGGGCTGCTCTAGAAAAGTTATTAATACAAATGGACCCAACATTAAAGCATATGCCAATCAGGAGTGTAAAACATACACAAAATATGACATTTGAAAGGTTAGTAAATTAAGTACAAGTGTTATTAAATAAATTACTGTACCCAACTGGCACATTTTGAATCTATTTATAAGAACTTTTATTTGAGTTGAAAAAAATGAATAAAAATGTTGCCTTCCATGATGACATTATCAGTGAGGTAGGAAATTATAATTAGTTTATTTAAATTCAATAAAGTAAAAATATATTTATTAAGTTTTGTTCTATTTCCAGCTACTGTACAGCAGCTCTTGAAAAATTATCATACCAGACTTTGTATGATGAAAATATAGAAGAAGACTTAAAACAATGGAAGCGAGTGGTTGTTTTGTACACTTTAAGGCTTATGTTAGCACCGCTTGTGGAAACAGTTATACTGCTGGATAGAATGCTTTATATCTTAGAGCATGGTATGTTGGTCTAATCTATACTAATATTATAAAGTGGCAGAGTTTGTTTGAATGTGCTAATATCAGGAACTACTAATCCGATTTGAAAAATTCTCTTTACTATCTAAATAATGAAAATACAAATAACAAAAATCATCTTAATTATTTTTTAACAAAACAATAATTATTAATCCCTCCACGACCGCGGACACGCCGGCGTTACAGTTAACAATAGATTTCTTATATATTTAAATAATTTCTTACAAATTTACCTGGACGTGTTAAAAAGTTAATATAGTAAAATTAAAACACCCTATATCATATAGACATTTAATAGAAGGAAAAAATACATCAAATAGGTACATTTACTTAAACATAATTCACAATTTACACAACTTATATACAGATGTACAACAACTTGCTTAAACCTCACTACAATGAAAGCTTAAAAAAGGAATTTTAGAATTAAAATAGGAATTAATTTAAGAAATTATCTTTGGCACATAATTAATACCAAAACAATACTAGTCCATTTGGTCCATAGCCTTAAGTCCATTTTATAATAATTTTGCCTTGTATTTTTTTATTGGAAGTGAAAGATTGTAATTTAATTATTACATTTGTAGGTATATCTTGTGAGATCTACCCAGTATTCGATCCAAAGATATCTCCACGCAATCATATCATAGTGGGAAGAAGAACATGACACATTAGTGTTGGGCTTTTATTGCTATTTTGTAGTTTTATATTATGAAATAAAAAAAAGTGAAACATTTTTTGTTTTTTTTTTTCAATATTAATAGACCATCTTTAAAATTTCTCTATTTAAATTATAATTACTTGTATTCTACTTTCTCTCTCTTTACTCATTGAATAAAAATAATTTTAGATGTAAATATATTATGTAATCTGTGGTGTAAGGTTGTAATGAAAAGATTTAGATAAAATATTAGATTGGTTATAAATTATCAATATCCATAAAAAATTGAACAACAACTATAAATAACCCGAAAATTTGTTTTAACTTCTCTCATTTTTTGTAAATATATACTTTAATCACAGATATGTACTAAATGGAGACATTATATTTACAATTATTATGAATAATTTTAATTTAGTGCACAATATTTTCGTAAAGAGACTGATTCTCACGTGACTCTTTTATGAGGATTTCTCTATTTTTGAACTTTACCTCGTATCAAAATCTAACGGGTTTTTTGGATTATCACTTCAAATACTGTATGTATTAAGAATCAGTCTCTTTCGTAATTTTTTTATAATAAAAAGCCGCCTTTAATATCGGTTTTAAAATATTGAGGGTCCCAAGTAAACGTATCGAACCAAAAACCATCAAGTTTAGTTTTTTTAGTAAAAACAGTAATCCAATATTCCCTTACCTATTACGAAGAAATTACCCCACTGAAAAACAATGAGTTCGATAAATAATTACATGTTTTTACTTAGGGACTCTCGATATAAAAATCGAAATAACAGTAACTTTACAATTCTCAACTGTATTACCTAATTTGAAACGTAAATATATATAAAGATTTTAATAAGGAATTAGGAACATTATATGACATCAGGCTGTGGGTGGTAACATGGGCGCGGGTTCGTCCTCCGAGTCGTCCGAGTGCACCCGCGTGAAGCGACGACGCTCCAGAAACCGGCGTAGCTTGAACTCACTGTGGCCGTAGTCCCAGCGACGGCGACTGATAGACTTGCGTCCTACATTTTAGGGTTATTTTTAAAATATATTTACATAATATATAGTATATAAAACAAAGTCGGGTTTGTTAGAACACTTTATAACTTGAGACCTGTTGGACCGATTTTTATGTTTGTTTTGTCTTTACCCCGAATAGCAGGGGAAGCGAGGGTGACTTGCTAGTAGCGAATAAAAACGTTTTATTAACTTTATGTTTCAAACAATATTATAAATAGAACTTTTAATTTCTTTCTTTAACATTCACCTTTGTTATAAATAAACTTTTATTGTTAATAGACCAAGTAAGCTTAGGTTATTAGTAAGTTAGTCAATTTAGGATATTCATTAAGTCCTAATAGCGGCTTAGCCTCGCTTCGTTTGTGTGCGTCCTTATGTACTTAACAGTAGCCTATGTGTTACTTTGATCAAAGTCTATCTATGTACATACATAATTTCATCCAAATCCGTGCAGCCGTTTAACGTGAAGTAACAAACATACACAAAAACATTTGCATCACAAGTTATTTACCTCTAATTATATCAGTAATAACAGAACTGCTCTTAAATCAAGATAGTCCAGTCAAATAAGGTCTGAAATCAAAATTTTGTCACTCAATTTCTTAATTTTGATATAATGTAGTTTTAAAAGTCAAAAAATTAATATTCGCCATTTTTCTACTACCTACGTTTTTTTTTTAAATTTATGTTCATCCCTTAAACTTAAAACGTCTATTTTTGAACTGATGAAAAAATATAGTAATTGAAACCTTTTTTATGTAAAATTTTAACCTCTAAACATTTTTATTAAAACTTTTTTGTCTAATTTTTACCGTTTTTGAGTAATTGAGAAAAAACACGTTTGACAATTTTTTTTTCTACCCTGGCCGGGGTTGCAGACACGAAAATATTTACTTATTGTTTTTGTATCATTAAAACTAGATTATATCAAAAAATCAAAGTTGAGTGCCAAAATTTTGATTTCAGACCTTATTTGACAGGACTAAGATTATAATTTATCAAATTGTTTTGGGTTATCTTCCATAACCCAAATGATTTCGTTTGCAGATTGACCAGTTTATAATTTTTAAATGGTGTAGTGACTCAGTTGTTGTAAGTGGTAGTCACAGATTCGATACCTATTTATTTAATGATTGAGATAATTAACATTAAAAAAATCTATTTTAAGATATATTGGTGCTTTAGTAAAAAGAAAAAATAAACCAGTGAACACAAAAACCATTATAAACGAAAGGATAGTGTAAAATAAAAAAAAAACAACAAAAGCTAAAGTCAATAAATATATTTGCATAAATGCTTTACATCACTACACATACATTAATCACAGAAGCAAATTAAAACTTAATTTCAAATTAATTATAAATAGGACGAACATTTGAGAAATAATTTAATTTAAATGATATATGCTTAATATAAAAAAAAAAAACGATTACCATAAAATAAAACATTCAACTAAAAGTGCAATATATAGGTGCTTTAGTTTAAAGGAATGTTTGTTACCATTTGTACTCATACATATTTCCTATTTTTTTCTCTTCTGTATAATTATTTGGTAGAATAATTTATATAATTATCATTTTTACCATATTTAATGTAATACTTTGTTAAAAACAACTTATAATTAAAAAAATAATAATCTCAGATCATTATGCGAGATCATAATTGCTTGTGATATTTATATGTCACATTAACTTCTAAACACATAATTGATGTATACAATATACATTATTAATATTATCTCATTATGTATAATAAATAGTAACATTTAAAAGTTCTTGGAACTTTTATTAAGATCATAAATATTAACAGGGAATGTTATTCAAGCCTCAAGGAACTTATAACTTCTATTCATTATATTTAACTAAAATGTAAAAATATAATTTATCAATATTTAGTAAAAATAATTTTTTTATAATAATTTTATCAATTATATTATTCATGTTTCATCAAAGTTATTATATTTCATAAATTTCATCTATATCATAGAAATGGTTAGAATGTCTTTTCTCCATAATCTCTTTTTATTATATTTAGGATTATTAAACATTAAAAATTAAAAAAAAATATGTAAAAAACATGTGATTACATAGACATTACATTCATTGTTATTTTCTGACAACCCAATGACATTTTTAAATTGAAAATAAGTTACAGTGCAGTTTGTGCGTACTATAGACATAAATGGCGGAAAGGCGCGACAGAGACAAAACAAATTGTGAGGCCAGTATTAATTGAAATACGATTAATCAAAATTGATGTATACTTAACTATTATACATTCTATTTATAAATTCAAATTGGAATAAAAAACGGACATTGGCTGCACGTTGGCTTTCTCTCTTTGTCAATTTCATGACGGCATTGCTCAGTCTATTCTCTATGTCTATGGTGCGTACCCAAAATACTAATAGAATTCTAAATTTGAATGTATGACACTAGTGGCCTTCTTTCTATATTTGAAATAAAAAAAAAAACATTGAACTTGCGCATCTGCCGACACAAAGCCATTCTAAATTTGAAATAAAAAAAAACTAAAACATGTGTCAAAGAGCATAGAATTAAGGCAGAAGTGGGTCAGTCGTGTCGTGGTAGCGCTTACCGCGGGAGCGAGCCGCGCACAGCGCCAGCAGCAGCGCGGCGGCGAGCAGCGCGCCAGCCGCGCCGCCCCACGCGCCCCACGCTCCCCACACCTCCCACTCACCGCCTGACACTTCTGTGAATGGGGTAGACGGGCATTATAGATTGACAATTATATGCCATTGGATACATCGATCAAAAAAGAACTAGATACACAATCCCATGCAAAAGTTCTTTATTCTAGTTGAAAAAAATATACAACAATGTAAATTGAACCTTAAATGCAATGCTTAAAGTTGTTTTCACAAAAAAATATAATTAAAAACGCGTTCAAATGTTCAAATGAGCGCTCATTCGGTGAGGACAGATTTTTGTCGTTGATTTCGTAAGTATCTTGTACTTACTTTTTGGATTGATGATTGGGTGTTAGTTATACTTAAAGTTCTAAAGAGTTAGGATAATGCGAATCTTACTAATATTATAAATGTGAAAGTTTAGATGTTTGGATGGATGTTTGTTACTCAATTACACCAGAACGGCTGAATGGATCTGGATGAAATTTGGCACAGAGATAGATTATACTTTATAACCGGAAAAAATGTACGGTTCCCGTGGGATAATTCATTTTTGTTTTTTAGAGGCGAACCCGACCAAAGCGAGCCGCGAGTAATTATATATTAATAATTTAAAACATTTTGAATAAAAACAAGAAATAGACATAAATGCATACCTAAAAATTATTTAAATTTCATTTTGTTTAGAAATAGAATTTTATTTAAATAAATGTAGTTATAAAACACAATATTGTTAAGTGACACTTATTAGAATTTTCTTGTTTTTATAAATAAATGTTTCTTTATGTGTTTGTTAATTCATCCATATTGGTTATAGCAACGCAAAGATATCTAGCCCAAAAATGTTATTTATATTTGTTCTCTATACATTTATACACCATTCATACCTAGTATTTTATGTAATTATATGAGGCGTTAGCTACAATTAAAAGTTAATAATAATTGCGCTTAACATTTACCAACCAAAAAAAAACAGCAAAACTGAACACAAAAAAAACCAAAAGCCAATACAAACCTACTCACCAGTGGTGGCAGTGGGCTTAGCGGGGGGCGCGGCGGGGGCCGCGGCGGCTGGGGAGCCTGCGGCGGGAGCCCCGGGAGACTGCGCAGCGGGGAGCCCGGGGGCCGCGACGTCGCGGAAGGCGAGCGCGCGGTGCGGGTCCAGCTCCGCCACGTACACGCGCGACCCGTCGGCGCTCACCGCCACATCGTGCGGGTTGCTGAATCTATTGATTTGATCTTATTTAGCTTTTTATCGTTCCTTAATTTATTTGTGGTTTCTTCACGATTTTTCTTCACTAATATAGATAGCAAGTGCAATCTTATATATAATCTTAATAATTATACATATTTATAATTATATATATTTATAATTATATATAATTATAATGAAAAATCATTTCATTTCAGTTAAATGTACATGTATAACAAAAAAATTCAACAAATCAAATCAACTACAATATGATTCGGTTGTACAATTGTCGGCGAGAATATTTTGCCGGAGCCGGTACACTCCGTGCCTGGCACGCGTCGCGGGCGCGGTGCGTGCAGGCGGCGCAATGGCGAGCATACGCATCACTAAAACCGTTATGTACGGGGTTTGATACGCTGTTGATCGTTCTAATGGGCACAGTAGTCATGAGCGTGCCATGCTTGTTTCCGTGCCTGATACGTTCATAGCACGGTCATGGTATGAAACGGTGTAGTGGACAGACACCTTTAGGTATTACATACCCGTCTTTAGGCGCGAAGGTCTTGACGAGCTTGCCCGTGTTGTAGTCGATGACGTACCCGCGCACCGGCACGACGCCGTTGGTGGGCCCGTTCACGATGTACAGCTGACCGCCTGCAAATCAAATTACATTGTAACTCAGTGTTGCAGTAGGTAATTTTGAATTTGGAATTTAAATATATGAAAAATTAATTTCTACTTTTTACCTTTAAATTTAAAAAAATTAAGAAAAAAATTCAAACCAATAAACAAGAAAACTATCAGTATGACACACAAACTAAAAATATTTTTTTTGTAAATTAATTCATCCATCACATTCCTGTAGGATTTTTAACATATTTTATTTCTCTATAATACGGTATAATTCTGATTTATATGATACTAGCAGAACCCGCGACTTCGCTCGCACTAAAACTATAAAAAAAACTCTAAAAATGTAGTTTCATACAAACTTTCATCCCCTATAATTTATACCTCTTATCCTATAAGGGGAAATTTTGAAAAATGCTAAAACACGTATTTATTTCATTTTATTGAAGAGCATTAATACCTAGTTTCAAGTATTTTGATCATAAATATTTTTTTTGGATTGTATTATAAGTTATAACGTGTTTTCCCGTGGGAATTAGATAATCTCACATCCACACAAAAAATCAAGCCTTTCCGTTACTCCGTTTCGATGTGAAAGAAGGACAAACAAACAAACACACTTTCACATTTATAATATTAGTATGGATTATATTGTATATATTTAGTACTTACTGTTTAAATAAATTAGCAGTTATAGAAATAGGGTGGTGGATACACCATCTTATTTAGTTGTATTTTAAATAGATGTTACAAACAATAAGGGTCCATACCATATACAATATTAGACGAGTAATTATTGTACATAGTATATAAAATATATAAAAAGGTAGCGATTTGGATAATTTATTTTATGTTTAGATAAGGATTCGCTTTTTAAGTTTATCTTTACATTCTTTTCTTCTTCGAGAAAACGCAATTTTAATAAAAAAAGACTAATTAGTAGAACCTTTTTCTATCTACTCTCGTGCTGACATTTTTATATACCTCCTCGCATAAAGCTTAGTATAGCGTGTACAGACCGTGCGCGGGCGAGTAGGCGACGCTGAAGACGCGCGCGCCGACGAGCCAGTGGCTGTAGGAGGCGACGTAGGCGGCGGAGTCGGCGCGGTAGCACAGCACGCGCCCGTGCTCGCGGTCGGCGGCGCACAGCTCGCCGCGCGCCTCCGCCAGCGCCAGCGCGTGCGGCACGCGCAGCGCGTACGACCCCGCGCCGCCCTCTGACACACACACACACACATCTTATTATTTATACTTTACATTCAAATTTTATTATGTGTATAAAATCTTTGTAATGAGTTTAGACGTTAGAGTACTAATAAGTATAATGAATAATGATAATGATAAAAACCTGTTGTATTTTATGATAACATCACAAATATGTGCTAAAAATAACGCTTATATAGTAAATCCAAGTGATTGAATATGGTGGAAATATATAGAAAATACATACACAGGCATTAATCCCTCCACGACCGCGGACACGCCGGCGTGTCAGTTAACAATAGATTTCTTAGACTTTTAATTAATTTCTTAGAAATTTACTTGGAGGTGTTAATGTCATCTTTTGTATTTTAATATAATATAGTCAAGTATAAATAAAATTTAAAAAATCGGGAGGTGTCGTGGGACACCCGGTAGCTACGAAGTTCCTTTCTTTGTCTACCCTTGGTTCATACATTAAGTTATAAAAATTATCACGAGTATCATAATATTGAGTAGATATCAATATCATCAAGCAACATACATTGTAGATTTTGAAGGTCTTTGAAGAAAGGCCTGCACAGAGTATACTATACACGAATTTCTTACAAAATAAATTCCTTAACACTTATACTCTTACGAAATAATAAACAATACCAAAATATTACACTTTTTTCACTCTTAACTCTTATTCACCAAATGTGACGAGTACGATAAGGAATTTTTGTTCTAATAAACAACAGATAACCCTCACGTTTCCCCCACTGCAGTATCCTGGTGCCGTCGGGCGCGAACTTCACGATACGCGAGTTGCAGTATCCGTCCGCCACGAAGAAATCGCCCGTCGACATCACCGCCACCGCGGTCGGCTTGCAGAAGTGCGTGTCGTCGTCACGCGGCACGAATCTGTACATTTAACACAATTAATTAATTTACCACAATCTAATTTAAAATTTTTCACAATTCAAAATATTTTATTCAGCATTAGATTATTACAATTTTTTACTGAACGTCATGAGTCTACTAACAGTTTGGAAAGAAGCCTCAGACCTGAGAAGAACTGGCGAAAGAAACTCAGCGGGACTAATATTAACTTGTTATCTTTTAATATTGTTATCTTTTAATATTGTTATCTTTTAATATTGTTATCTTCCTAATAACATATACAAACGTCTAACGAAGACATCTAGATATACCGTAGTGTATTGATCTATTGGGGTCTAACGGAAGCATCTAGACAGGGCAACGGTACAACCGCCATCGTACACAACCTCGGACATATGTGGATAGGAGTTCACAAATCTTTTGGAAATCAGTTGGGTTCTCTCAAACATGCAGATTTTCTCAAGAAGTTTGCCTTTACTGCATTAACAAGATGTAATCATAATAAAAAGTGAGATTATATGTTGTATCTTTTTAAAACAAAATACATGTACTACACAAACACTGTATTTGTATAAAAGATAAATTGGAAAACTAAAGTTGTTTTCTATAGTAATATTATAAAACTATAGACTTAGTCTTACTTCACTCAGGTGTATACATATTTTGTTCACGATTTCATGGATTTTAATTATTTTGGAACCCTAATTCTTTTTCTAAAATAATAGTAGCCTGTTACTCTTTATAACATCAACTATCTGCCAGTTAAAGTCCCGTCGAAATCAGTCTAGCCGTTTGAGAGATTAGCCGGAACAAACAGACAAAAGTTTTAGAAATTGTTTTTTTTTCTTATAATATATGTATTTAGTAAAAAGCTATTATTTTGACATTACAAACAGACACTTCAATTATTTTTTATTATAATTATTAAATAATTATATTATAATTTTTTATTTGTATAGTTATGTGAATATAATACTTACTTCTCCCCAAGTGTTAATGCAGGATGGGTGCGGTTGTCCGGAGTGAATTTGAACACTTGATGGAGAGCAACATCTGTCACCCACACATTGCCTTTGTTGTCAACTGTGATGCCATGTGGAATGTAGAATCTGTGTAAAATGTACACTTTAGCAAACTTGTGTTAATTTGTAGATGAATAAATATATTTAAAACTGCTAAATTGCAAAATACTGACATATTGTACAAGGTCATATAAGGTGCAAACAACCTTATTGTTAATTATTATCAACAGCTTGTCATGTAGTCAATATATTTCTCATCTCTTCTCTTGGTTAGTTTATTTTAATAAAGTGTCTAACCCTACTGGGATGAAATGTATAAAATAAATTTGAGATTTTTTTATTTATCAGTTGTTTATTAATAAGAAATTATATAAATTTCTATCTTAAGGATAAAAGAAATAATGATTTTGTTAATAAATAATTACAATATTTGGAATAATAAAAAGAATTATCTACAATCTACATGAACGAAATGAAGTTGTTTCTTAATAATTTATTATCAGTATAAACTACAGGGTGGGTATATACATTTTTTAAAGTATATGCTTATTAATTATGCACAAATACACTAAGAAAATATTTTTTTTCGTATTCAACTCCATAAAGGAATGTGGAAATAGTGCGGCATAGAAGAGCAGCATTTGTTTACATAGATGCTAGCATTTTTAAATTTTTATATTATTTTTGGTTATCTAAATTAATGTTATATTTTAACTACTTACAAATTTTGTCCCCATGAGTCAACGAGTTTCCCAGTTTCATTGAAGATTAAAATAGTTGGTTGAGGTATTGGATTATCACCAATCCTCCGATATGCATTAGTCTCTGTGAATGTGTTAATGTCCCAAGTATTAGATGACCGATGAAACACATAGAGAAGTCCTGATGAGTCAAGGGCTACTCCTGACACTTGACCCATTTCAATGGCTGGGTTAGGCCAGTTTGGTATCCACTCAGGAGCTAAAATATTAGTGGAATTAATATCAATATATAAATCAAAATCATTTTGATACTCTCAATGAAATATGAAAAAAAAAACTCTTACCATGCTCTAACATTTGCAAAGCTGCATTTATTTTATCGAATTGGTTGGTGTCATAGAAGTTTCCGGGATATTCTTCTTCAGAAAACTGAACAAACAATTAAAATATAAATGGGTTTCATTACTGATATAAATAATAAATCAATAATTTATATATTTTCCTTACCCTTCTTGCGTTAATACATGTAAGAAATAACAATAATATTATAAACATTTCAGACATATTTTTCATAAATTTGATAATAAAATCGACCATTTTCTAAATATATTCTAATTGTAATGTTTTTCACTACAATACAACATGTGGTCGCAATCAGTCTTTAGTTCAGTTAAAGAAACCTATAATTATAAAAGCAATGCCTATTTTCAATTATTACAGATTTCACACTTGTTTTCATTGACTACCTATTTATCGCAATTCGCAAATCGGAGTTCTCAGTTCACAGATTATAATTTATAAATATCAAGTCTCAACTCGAGGTAAGGAGAACCGTTTTTTATGGAGGGGAAGTTGAAGTGTCTAGCTGTTTGCTGAAAATAGAGGTCGCTGACGTACGAAAAAGTACGATATGAATTTAGCTGCACGGAGTTCAAAAATGTAAACTTTTTCATGAATAAAGTAGGTAGTTAATGAAATAATAGTAATACAAAACCTTAACTATTACCGTAGTCTAAAATAATTTACTAAATATAACCGTGCTTGTTTATTTATCTATCTTACTTTAATTACCTTTGGCGCTTCCTTTAAAATTTATCGAACGCTACCGCCGCAAAAAATTTTAATGTAATAATTTATATAGCTAACTAGCATTGCCCGCAGTTCCGTCTGCGTTCAGATGATCAAAAACCAAATTCTTAGGTTTTACATGTTATTATACTTACATATATTATTAGGTTTGGTGAGCCTAAGTGGGGCGGGATGAATGGTAGTCTATGTTCGTACTCATGATACAATCTAATATCTATGCCAAATTTCATAGAAATATGTCAGCACTCAGCAGTTTGATCGTGAAAAGGATATATAGTATAGACAGAGATAAAGACTTACTTTCAGATGAATTTGGTACATACATACATGTATTTCTTTTTATATATTTACTGCTGGTTAAATATTTATGTAATATAAAATAAAATGTTTTATTTGTTTAAATTATCAGGAACGGAATATGTTGCCTCTTGAGACAATATCATGAAATTTTAGATTATTACTTACTACGATTTTCTTATCTCAGGAATTTTAATAAATAATAGGTCATTTTGCTTTACACTAAGAAGTTTATTTTCACATGCACCAAAGTGCTCTTACATCCAATGGGAAAAACCGCCATTACATAAATAAAATCCACGTATGGGATGTAATATAGGTAGCTTCTCCAGCCAAAGCGATAATTCGCCGATAAAGGTGACTTTTGTTCACCTACATACATAAAACTATCCATATCCTAAACATGTGTTAAGAACATTTGAGCCTGTTCCTGGATTTTTTTCATTTTCCGCAAGGCTCTTGAGGAGAGATGAGTCATTGTATCCATCAAGCCAATATTAAAGTAGAGTTTCCGTATTAGGTCAATTCTAGTCTTCTTCAGAACTGAATCATTAGGCTTGGTACATAATAATCTTTTGTGATACGAAACTAGTTTGTTTTTAGTTTTTTCTATTGCAGGTAGTTCACTCTCCTCATTCATCCTTTCCTTTATTGCTTTGTTTACACTATATGTTGCAAACATGGTATTACATGACTTTTTTGGGTTTGTTTTAGGGCTTTTAGTCAGTTTGTCATACTTCTTCTTTTTGAATGCTGGAAATTGTTTGCTTCTGTAATATTTACTGAGAAGATCAGTATAATCGTCTCGAGGAATAGCAGCAAAAATGCAGTGAAAATGTTCCCCAATTTCTTCCCTTAAGGAAGTTGGTATATTTTTTTGTCTGAAGTTTGTCAATTTCTCTTGTAATTGTTGCAGTTCTGTTAAATGCTTGGAACCGTCAGCAAGGCCCGCCTGCCCAAGCAACACCATGTTGAGCTTTCTCAACATGCTATTTATATTATCTTTATTATTAGACAATTGTTTGGGGCTGACAATTTTCTGTTTCAAGAGCTGCTGATGTCGATTCTGTAAAAAGACCAGCTCTTTATACAGATCTTTGGGCTCACCCAAATTTGACTTTAGTGATTCGAAAGCTCTACTTAATTTTCGAAGAAGATTATTTCTGTTTTTCGGTATATTATTACTTGGACTGTTTAAGTCGTAGATCTCTTGGGTCACATCAGCGTCGCTCTCAGACACAGCACGCTCTTTTCTTTGATATTTATTTCGAATCCAATCGCGAAGCTCTGCTTGAAATGCTTCTTGATTTCCAACAGTTCCTTTGATGCTTAAAAAGAATGTAATATCTTTGTTTTCGAGACTGACATTGTTTTTGTTTAAAGTATCATTCAACCAAGCCTTGCCTTCTTCAGTCGCTAGTTTCTCTGTTATTTCTTTAGTGATGTAAGCTCTTGCAGATGTTATTACCTCACTTGTATCAGAAACTTCATTGTCTTGGATAATTTGGCCTTTCTTGTCGCGATTATCTGATGTTATTGGAATATAATCTGCTGCTTTTTCTGAATCATGACTTTCTGACACTCTTTTACCAGATTTGGGTGCTTCTGATATATCTTTAAGTTCTTTTGGATCTTTACTTTGAGAGTTCTTCCTTTGTGTATTGTTGCTGATGGGGCTTTTGCTTCTTTGGGCAACTGCAGGTGTATCGGTTTCTACATTTCTCTTTTTATTTTGATGAGTTTCATGTGTAACAGGCGATTTGGATTGTCGTTTTAGGTGTCCGAACCTCGATACAGCAGTAGATCCATTGGCATCTTCACTTACATGTCTGTTTCTTTGTTTGTTTCGTTGATTATTTGCTTGTGTGTCAGTGTTTTGTGTCGTCTTGTTTGTCATGACTTGATAAACTGGTCGGTAAACTGCCACATATGGTGAATTGATTGGTAAACCAGAGAATGGCAGTGTGAGGCGGCAGGTGTGGACCAAATGGCCACGACGGGTACATCCGCTACAGAACATTTGGTAATGTTTCTTCAGTTGACGATTCTCTTCTAATGCAGAGTCCAAATTAATCTGCAACAAAGATGAGTTTAAATATTATGTTGTTTAATATTAAATAAGCTCCATTAAATAATAATGAATATACGTGTTTTTTTTGTTTTATTTTTGTACAATAACTTACATCGTATTATAATTGTAAAATAAAACCTGCTCCAAAAAATTCTGATTTAGTATAAAACATTTTTTTTAAATATCATACAGATACGGACACTTTAAACGCCCATCATTTTGGCGCGTCATAGTCTATGAAAATCAAAAAGTGAACAAATCTAGATTGTTACTAAAGTCAGTAGTTAGTAATTGTAACAATAGCAACCAAACAACAGCCAACAGCCAAACAACAGCGCTCTATTATAATAGACTTTGACGTCACATTCGGTCTGACCAATGGCATGTGTTTCAACTACCAACTATAAATATTCCACCTATTTTTGCACTTTTCAATAATTATTTTCTTAATCAAAAAGAAATTACATTAAAAAACATTGATATAGGGTTAATTCAGAAGGACTAAAGATTATAAAAAAAATATTTCAACTTTATTTAAATCACACACATATTCCAATGACTAATAAATAATTTTATTATTTTTATTTCAAATATTATTGTTAGGCTTACAGTGTTGTGGTAGCGACGCCACACGTCCGGACAGTGGCTGGCGGGATGACCGGTCTGTCCGCATTCGGCACACTTTATACCATTCCAATTGGAGCAATTGCGACACATTGTAGAGTACATATGGTTTGGTGATCCACACTGAAATATAACATAAATTATTTATACACTAAGTATACACACAATATATAAAAAATATACGGTTTTTCTGTTTGTGCTAATAAATTGAGTACTACTCGAAGTACCCATTTACAAGATTTTTTTATTAGGGATATTTGTTTTCAATTGATACTATTTCAGCAGGGTTGCTTTATAAAAACATAAATATTTGTTGAAATAAAAATGTTCATTAATACAAAATTATATGCTAAAATTTACGTACAACCATTTATTACAGCAAGGGTTCAGAATCACTTCATTTGATTTGATTCAAAAGTATTTCTGTATACTAATGCTTGCTGAAACTATTAACTTGTTTCAGCATTAAATAGTAGCAAACATATAAACACACACACACACAAACTTTTACAATTATAATAATGGTCCTATTTTTGTTCTATTTTACTATAAACAGTAATAATAATAATTGTTTACTTACGTTGACACAAATTTTCTTTGGGCAACGTGTTTCAAAATGGCCGGCGGAGCCACACATGAAGCAAACTGGTGGTTTCATGCGACATGTGTCGTCGCGATGGCCGACACGATTGCAGTAATTACATCTGTGTATTAATTATTAAAAAATTGATAACATATTTACATATTACTTACTACTTAGCTGCCCATAAAATTTGATATATTGCCCTTAAAATCAGGGTTCGAAACGATAATTATCATTGATAATTATCTTTGATAATGATCATGATAATTATCAAGATAAATATGGGTTGATAATTATCTTTGATAAATATAATTGAAAATATTTAATTTGTAACTCTTCAAATTGTTGATCAGCTAACTAAACTCTCAATCAGCAAACTGAGTTAATGAGCTAATAAACAAAGTTAGTGTTTTTGATAGTTTTGAAGCAAATTTCCTAATACAATAATTTCCATTATATTTAAAGAATTCATGGAAGTAATAATTTACAGGCCAAACTCATAAAATTATATTTTTAATTTTTTTATGGGTATAAAGGAGGTGGAAATGTTGTAATATCTTTCATAATGTACTTACGCTGCTTTCCGTCTTGGCAAAGAAGACATTTTATCCTTAGGATCTATAACCCACAGACTTTTGTCTCCTAAAAATAAAAATAATACATTTAAAAAAAATATCTCCCATTATATATGGAACTCTATCTTTGTTTATTTTTTTTTTTATCTTGCAATCAGTCTTCTTGACTATGAGCAGATGTGATGTAAGAATATCAGTTTGTTTTGTTCGTTTGTGTTGTTTGTTTAAAATATAAATAATATGTATATATATATATATATATATATATATATATATATATATATATATATATATCTTGATAAAATTTGGCACTGTGGCAGCAGCCATTTTCGAGCAGATATTAATATTTACATAAATAAATTTAAAAAACCCACCAGACACAAATAAAATTTTTACTTATATTGTTTTATCTTAATACATGAAGAAAAAATCTTATCAGTTCCTATTATAAACTTAAGTACTTACTTGACATATTCTTTTGTATCTCACGATGATTAAAATCTTCACCGCCCCAGCTTTCATTATAAAACTTTTCCATTTCTGCCCTAAGAGTGGTGAGAGAGTATCGTCGTCTTTTACAAGCTTTGTTGTTGCCTTTTAAGTTATCAAAATCCAAATCAGCATTTAATATAGCAGGAATTTTAGTTGAGCCACACTTGGATATGTTACCTTGTGGTAAAGTGTTTTCATCACAATAATCATCGATGTCTGTAAAGCCAGTAACATTTCCCATAATGATACTTTCATTTATTGTTTCAGTTTTTTCAATATCTACTTCAGTTAAGTCAACAGTTAATGTTTTATTTAGGTCAGTGGATTTTTTTGCTGTTTTCGATGTTTCTGGTATGGGATTATCAATTATGCTGCAATCTGAACTATTCACATCATCTGCTGGTACATTATCTTTTGATCCACACTCTTTAGCAATCTCTGATTGGTTAGAATCTGATTCGTAAACATCGGTGTTTGGCAAACTTTTATCTGTAACTGTGTATGATTGGTTACTGTCAGAATCATAAACATCAGCGCTTGGTACACTCTTTTCTGAAACCTGGTATGATTTTGGTCTTTGCCTTTTATTTTTAGCCTTACTTTTTGGTGTTGCAAAACATTCTTCCATGGATTTAGAAATAGAAATATTGGATGTGGGAGTTGAAATGGGTGTAGAGGTTGCATCTTTGTTTTTCTTTTTCTTTTTTTTCTTAGAAGGTGTTTGATTTAGTAGATCTGAACCATGAAGGCTGAAGTCAAAACTTTCATTGTTTCTATGTTTTGAAGAGATATTTAATGCTATACAATCACCACGAATAAAGTCGTCTGACACTGATGATACTACAGATGGGACAGGGCTTGCTGTCACTTCCCTCTCTATAGGTTTGTCTTGTGCAGGCTTGCTTAAATTCTTTTCCTCAGGGGTCTCAGAAGTGATAACAGGATTATCATCTTCATCCGAACTCTCAATTGTAATGGTTGGTTTTGGTGGTAATACTACCTCAATTACTTCATCTTCATCACTAGATTCCAACTCCACAACACGATTTTCAATCTCATGTTCCAATATTTCAATGGTCTTTTTTATATTTTCGGGAGGAGGTTTCTGAAATATTGACAAATCTGGAGACAATGTTTGGCTGTTGTTTACTTCATCTTTTGCTTTAGTTATACCATTTTCATTTGAATTTTTGTTGACAGTAGGCTCTTTAGGACTGTTTACTTTTTTGTAAATCGTATTCTGATCTCCGCTTGTACGCCAGTACCGTCGTATGGTACTGCGGGGGACATTTTCGAAAGTGGTATCATTTTCTTTTGGATTTGTGTTTACATTTGTCTGTGTTTCGTCTACATAGTGTAACATAGCATACATCCGTTCTTCCAATTCATTTTCGCTAAGCTCCTGAAAGTAAATATTATTACAAAATAATCATTGACCATGCGCTGGTACTCTATATTGTGAAATGTGACACAACAAAAATATGGTAACCTAAACACTCACCTCTTCCATATTTATATCGGAAATTTAGATCAAACAAGATATGACACGAAATAAACATAATCGAAAAATGTATTTAACACAATTGTTAAACCGCTGTGGACATTGCAAGTAACGAAAAAAAGGATTTGTATTTATTATGGTTTATGGACACGTCTGTCACTCCATTTCGAGTCCGAAAACTGACGCCACAGATAATTTATGAACTGAACAATCAAATTATCAACATTGGATAAATTACTTGGTGATTTACTGCGTGATTTTTAACAGTTAAATACTGTATTTTGCAGTATTATATTTTATATATATAATATTAAATTACTTGTTATATTAAATGCAGTTAAACAACAAATCAAATATTAATGAAAAAAGCAATTAGGGAAAACTCCAAGGGAAAACCACGTCGCCTATTTGCCCAGTAAAAACATTTCACAATTACGTCTTGAAAGTTTAAGATTAATAGATTAGTATTATTAAGGCAAAACGATCACATATTTTTTGAAACAAATTATTTTTTTATATAGATATAAACAAAACAAATGTAAAATATAAATTAACTTTTAAATATTATTAATTATTAGGTTTACAAAATGGGGAAGAATTTTGCCTTTTTCTCCCGTTAGATGTCGCGATCAGTATTAATATTGTAAAATGGATAGATTTTTTCATTTTAATTAAAATTTAATTAAAATGACAAATTGGATGAAATTGACAAACAAGATGCAAGGAAAATGAATATCATTTGTTCCCAAAAGACTAAAACTGGAGAAATTGTGGACCTTAGCACTAAGACGACCAAAATTGGTGAAATCATAATCTTTATATTGAAGCTATGTTGACATCATTTTAAAGAAAGTGATTTTAAAACCCTATCATCTACATGTGAATATATTTTTTATTTTTTTTTACACTTTTTTACATATTAATTAAAGAGTTTCATATAAAACTTTCATTCCCCATTTTACCTCCTTATGGGATTGAATTTCGAAAAACGCTAAAACACGCATAAATTTAATTGTATTGAAGAGCATTAATACCAAGTTTCGAGTAATTCTGATCATAAATTTTTTTTTGATAAACTTCATTACCCTTATACTTAAGGGAGGAATTTTGACAAAAAAACTAATAAATATATTTTTTGTTTTTTATCATAAAGCTAAGCACTATTTTCTATGTATTTCACATTAAGAATGACAAAATTTCATACAATCTTTAATCCCCTATTTTACCCACTAAGGGGATGAATTTCGAGTTTCTTTCTTCGGATGCCTACACCATATAAGAATACATCCTCCAAATTTCATGTTTCTGTAACCAGCGGTTTAGGTTGTGTTTATCCATCAGTCAGTCAGGACCACAGCAGGATGCATCTCTCCTTCTCAATTCTTCAGTCTTCCTTCAGCTGACCTAACTTCAAGATACAATATATTGCACAAGTAAGATGTAAACGCAATAGAAGCAAAAAACAAACACTTAAAAGAGAATATAACAATAAATTGCTTAACTTCATTTAATGTTAATAGGCCTTACGTGTGGCGCCCTCCTTTCGAGAAATATTCCCCATTCAACAAACTAATAATAATTTCTAAGCTTTGTCTTTAATCCATAGAGTATATTGCTACATATAAACTTTAATCAAATGTAATTCTACATAAGGTTCATTTTAGAAATCAAAGTTATCTATAGTAATATTATAAATGTGAAAGTTTGTAAGTATGGATATTTGTTACTCTTTCACGTCAGAACGACTCAACGGATCTGGATGAAATTTGGCACAGAGATAGATTATAGTCTGGAATAAGAAATAAGCTACTTTTATCCCGGAAAAATATACGGTTCCCGAGAGATAAATTTGTTTTTGTTTTTTAATAGAAATTTATTTATTTATGAATTAGAAGCAAAATTTACAATGGTTAAACACATATTATTATCAGCTATGCAATACACTTATCACTTAACATGTTAATTGCACTTTAAGTTATAGGTAAATATAGCATGATAATAATTACTAAGGTTTTTAAGTGATCATGTGGATAAAAAAGATAAAAAACAAAGTAATAACAAAAGTTTGTTTAAGTTTTGAATACTCTTAAGTCTAGAGTCTAGTTCAATAAAGTTTTGAATCACTTGGATGCCAACTTCTAAATTAACCATAAAAATATATTATAAAAATAAAAAAGCCGACTGTGTGTATCTTCTTCTTCCTCACAATAACTTTTTTATTAATTTAAAATGTACTTAGACGACATATCTAGGGACGCACCCGAGCGACTCAAGGGTAGTCGTCGCTGGTTTATAATATTAAGCAATGTTATTGTCCTACGTTTAATATAAAAAGTTTGGTTTGCTATTATTTAAAATTAAATCTACCATCACTATTGCCACATTTATAAAATCAAAATATTAATTTGAATAGCTATAACTTTGATTTACCTACTGTAAGAACGAAGTACCTACATCTAACGGTCTGTTATGTGTACTTTTGGTGTTTGATTTTATTACATTTATTACGGGATCCCATGATGATGGTAGCACCCAGCTATCTTACATATTGAAATTTGGATGTTTTTTTAATTTCAATAACTTCCCTAATCATTCTAGGGCGATAATGATGTTCTGTCGCGAAGATTTGTGGTTTACGGAATCTAGTACCTAGTACCTACATATAGTGGCTTGCGTGATCCTGCCTACATTGGCAGACCGCACATTTAAGTTTTGCGACGGAGTTCACATCAGCTATGTTTTATGACCTAAGTTTTAAAGGGTATCTTCGTTTGTTCGATATAAATGATAAGGTAAAAGATTAACTTGACTGTAAAGACTAATCCTGTGATTAGTCCCCAATCTCCTATCTTATCAGTCAAAGTCAAGTCAAACAAAAAAGGAAGCAGATCAAAGTCTACATCTTTTAGAGGGATCGAAAGGTCGGGAATCAGAAATCGAAATAAATAAGCGACAAAATCCGAAAAGATACATTTTTTAATTGTATAATATATTCGCATAAATTAAAGAAAGTAAGCAGTGATTAAAGTTTTTCTGTTAAAAAAATCTTAGAAAAATAGAAAAATCTTAGAAATCTTAGAAATTATTTTAGAAATATATCGGCTTTGGGAAGGTGATGGTGCATTACCCCCGAGCCTCGGAGAACATCTAAGCTTGTCGGTCTTTGAGACTTCGAGAGTGAAAGGAATAAAGAATGCACTTGCACACACGCACTGCACTAGCTTCTGCGTAGTATCAGAAAGATTTCCCGTCGTGGCCGAAATTGGTAACGAGGTCATTATTATTATTTAACCTATATTTTGATATAACTAATTAATAGAAACTTTTACTCAATTGAACAATAAACAGAAAAAAATGTACAATAATGGTAATAAAAAAGACAAATTGGCAAGTCGCCAATGAATAATCATTAATCAAATAAAACCTCTAATAAATTTAAATTGTTTTATTTCATAATCGTCTTCAGTCAATACGAGTTATTTACAAAAAAATATATATAAAAAAAGTATTCTTAAATACATCGAAAAAAGTTTAGCAAAAGATTTATGTAATCATCTTCAACCATCGCCCAAAGAATGTGCTGACGTTATGCGCTGTGTTTCTGTAAAGATAAAAAAAAATTAATACCTTGATACGAGATTTGAAAATGTTTTTGGGCAATATTGCCATTGCCATTTTCCATTTAAAAGGAATGGCAGCCCAACAATTCAAGCGTTCTTGGGAACTAAGTAAAGCGGGTTCGAATCCCGGATTTAGCACCTTCCGTATTCCATTGATCTCGTAATTTGTATTAATGTACTGTGGACTCAAGAGGCAGTTAGCCAAGTGGTGTTGACATAATGTTGATAAATTAAAGGTTTAATTTACGTAACAATCATAATATATGTATATTATCGTGACTGTTACATATTACCTTTATACCTTTGTCTCTACGCTCTTATTATTGAGAGAGAGTGCGATTTTTGTGAGTTTTTGTATGGTACTCTCCAGATTCACTGTATTTATTAACTGATTTCAAAAAAGGAGGAGGTTCTCAATTCGTCGAAATCTTTTTTTTAATGTATGTTCATCGATTACTCGAAGACGCCTGAACCGATTTGGAAAATTCTCTTTCTATTACTCTTATCTCTTGTTATCTTGTCTTATAGGGTAAGTCGTTAGTTTCATTTCAGAATAAAACATAAACCAAACATTTATTTCGGTTCCAAATAGCTTACTTGATTGAACTACTGAGTGATATTTAAGCGATTTAGCAGTTTTAACTAACTGTACCATTTAGTTAGAGCCGTTTGAAAGCATCACACTATCTTTAATCTATTTCCCAATACAGCCGTTGCACAATAAAGTAAAGGCGTAAAACGCCTTCCTATTTGCGGGTAAATTATTAGATACAAGCAGTTAGTACCTACATAATAGTTATTATTTAAAATAGAAATGAGGATATTTGAAAATAGGTAGTAGCTGAGCTAACAATCAGTCTAAATTCTAGAGTCAAGCAACTTTTGTAATATACTAACGGAACCCGCGGCTTCGGTCGCGTTCAATTTACAAAAAGAACTCTGGCTTAATTTTATCTATATGTATACAATATAAAATTATAAAATAAATATAAAATTCTAACTGAGTGGAATGTGTATGTCAAATATTTTTTAGAATATCTTATTGAAATAGTCATTATTGTCTATACAGAGGCTGATACTATAGTTTTTAGACTTGTTAGTCTGTCTGTCTTAGTATGTCTGTCTTGTTGTCTGACTTGTTTGTCTGTCTATCTGTCTGGGAACGCACCACGAGACAACCATATTGAACAGATTTTGTTGAAAGGTATGAATTATGATGATCAATGATGGCTGGTCATCCGGGTCAATATACCTATAGGATTTGTTGACATTTATGATTACTGCTCTACTCCCTTGGGTAGTAGCATGATGATATAAAGCCTTCCTCAATAAACGGGCTACGTAATGCAAAAATAATTTTTCAAATTGGATTAGTAGTACCTGAGATTAGCGCGTTCAAACAAACAAACAAACTGTGCCTCTTTATAGTATTATAGTTAAGTTATAAATTATTATAATATATGAAGATAGGCTAGTTTCGTTTCTTTCAGTTGTCGATGTAAGTTAAGCCTCAATGTTTATACTGAGCTTTTAGTTTAATATAAAAAATCGTTCTAGAGCGTTTAGTTATTATTAGTATTGCCTATAGATTTCTTCCCCCTAAAATATATGTATATTTTAGGAAGTCTAATTGTTAGCTAGTGAGTCTAAATTATCAGTTTAAAATATTATGTATTTGTACTAAATTTTTTTTGCACTCATGGTGTCCATCAACCCGTATTTGTTATGGCGCACTATGATGGCCTTACCGCTTTTTCATTTAGAGGCTTGCACTCAGCAATTCTTAAAATACATTCTTACATAAATATATTACAGGATAATGCTAAAGCTAAGGTGTGGGCGAAAGTTAAATACAACTGTACCTACTAAAGTCACTATAACTACGTATATTATTGAAGTAAAACTTCTTTAGGCGAAACTTAGGGTAAGTCCATATATTGGAAAATGAATGTTAAAAAAATATTATATGTATATTTTTATAATAGTTATTCTTTATAAAAATAAATATTTATTAGTAATAATTTCGTAAAAATATTTATATTTTGATTTATTTTAATTTAATTGTAGTATCTGCCACAGCGTCGAAGAAGTTTTATTTCAAGTTTTAAAGGTTGCACGCATAATATTTTTTATTTATAGCTTGTCACAGTTCTTTTTCTTTTTTTGTTTGAAGTTGTATATAATATTTGTACAATTTTTTTTTAAATTATAAACGAAGATAATATCAAATCAATAATATAATAAAATAAGATAATATAATATCAAAATAAATACCTATCGTCTCTGAAATCGTATTTCAGACTTTTATCAAGTAATTTTATAAACTAATTTAGATAAACAGAAATATCAATCGAAATTCTATGATTATTTCCATTACGACGTATTTTTCAGCAGTAGTAGGTAAAATATTTTAACGTGGTAAAAGCAGCAGCGCCAGTCTTCAGTCATCCAGGCTCCAACTACGAGTATCTCCATAGAAACAAGGATAAACAAACATACACATTATTACATTTATAATACTCTTAGTTGTAAAAGTCGATCTTCTTACATGTTATGTTAGAATACAGCTTCTACCTAGTTTATATTTACCTAAGCGAAAAAATTGAATCTTGCGGAGTTGTAGAGGAAAATTCATCGATGATTCTATCCACTGTTTGTTCAGTGGTGGCACATCGATCTATCCAAACACCATCGCAATGTGAACTGAAAATTAAGGAACCATTAAAAAAATACTTTACCGATGTAATTCACTGGTGTAAATAAAGTTGGCCGTCACAGGACGTCCGGTAGATGTGAAACGCCTATGTTTATATTAAAATTAATAAATAATTGAAAACCTACAACGAAATATGGAGTAAAATAAAGATATAATAGAATTTCGTTAATAAAATCAATTTATTTTTCTTATTATTTTAATTATAATAATAATTACAGAATATATATATATATATATGTATATATGTATATATATATATATATATATATATATATATATATATATATATATATATATATATATATATAGTACCTGGGCCACCAAGCGTCGCTCGGAGTTTTAGGTTAAAAAGTACAATTTTCTTTAAAAAAAACTAAAAACTTGTAAAAATATAAAAAAATATAAAAGTAAAAACTTTGTATGCGACCAAGATTCGAACCTGTGAAACAAAAATAAATTATACCTTTGTATCCAACCGGGATTCGAACCCGGACACCTATTATTGTCAATCATGCATCTTTTTTTAAAAAAAACTAAAAACTTAAATAAATATTAGAAAATAAATAAAAGAAAAGACTTTGTATGCGACCGAGATTCGAACCTGTGATTGTTGATTTTTCACCTTGGCCACTTGAACACGATACTTATACCCGAGCGTGCAAATTACCGACCATATTTTGCGTGGAATAATACAAAAGAAAACTGCATGAAAACTCAAAAATAGAATTTATTATTCGCCAATAGTCATTTTTTTCAAATAGAAAGAGTCATTTTTTTTTTCAGTTTAAGTGGCACGGTTCATGGCACGGCATCGCTCGATCGGTTTTATTTTTTATCGGTTTTTTAAAATAAATATATTTTTTTTAATTACTAAGACAAAGTTTATTTATATAAAAGTTTCTTATGTGTTCTAAATCTAAAGACTAAACAGTCCAAATAGTCCTATTAATTTAAAATGGTGCCGTTAATAATTTGTAGATTTCTAAAATAAAGAAGGTTAAATTCGGCTAAATTTGTATAGGTAGATAATAAAATACGTCAGACAATATCTGCCGATTCTGTGTTCACTTTAATGATCCTTTTCGATTAAATAAAATATAGATTCTTTTGACCTTTAAAATATACTTTCAATTGTTTATTAAAAAGTTCATTGTATAATAGGGCTTTGTAAAACGAAAAAATATATATAATCTGTTGCCAACCCTAAATACTTACATTCTAGCGATGTACTGCAGGCTGGCTCGCAGCACGGCGTCGAACGCGCTTGATGCCGCTGCATAGGCAGTGTCCGTACCCCCCGCATCCCTCGCGGCTCCAGCACCTCCCGAACCCCTCGAGCAAGCCCACGTGATACACCCCCCGCGCTTCACCGAGTACGATAGTGTCTCTAATAACTTGACAAAAATTGTTTTAATATTAGTCTATGTAACTTCGGAACATGGTAAGTATTAAGATTTTCCTAAGGTTTAGTTACGAGTGAACGCCACAAGTTTAGAATGGGTCTCGCGCTATTGGAAAATTTTGGAATTTTATAAATGAGATCGGCAAAACTTACAACGACAAAGGGGAAGTCTTGAGCGAGGGTTCCTAAAGCTGTACACATTACCTGACATTTCCAATCCAAATTTCATTTAAATCTGTTAAGCCATTATAGAGTGAAGTATTAACATTCAAACTGTGTATTTGTAATACTGACGATTTACCCTTACTTCGCGGGTGCGTCCCTATAAGGTACACCTGAGGCTATGTGTATACGTCATAATAGTCTATCTGTGCACTGATCAAAATCTATATACTAATATTAAAAAGAGACCGATTTTGTTTGTTTGTTTGTTTGTTTAAACGTGCTAATCTCAGGAAATACTAATCCGATTTGAAAAATTATTATTGCGTTAGATAGCCCGTTTATTGAGCAAGGCTATATATAGCCTATAGGCTATATTTCATCCCGGGAAAATGTACGGTTCCCGTGGTGAGTCGCCAGTTTTAAATAAAATCCAACAAAATTATCCAGCTGTTTCAGCATGGAGTAACAAACAGACACACCCACGTATACAAACATTCGCACATATATGTAGTCTGATAAGCGTGATCTTACTTTTAAATTGTCATATACATCTTGAGTAACGAGCTGTGATATGCCCTCTAACCCCGGCTCGAATTCTGCGCCTATAACGACAAGCGCGTCCACTTTATCCAAACACGCTGTGTTACCTTCACTTGGAACACGCACTGTATAACCGTGAGCTTCTAACTTAGATTTCAGTTCGCGACCTATACGACTTGATGTATTAGATACCTGAAAAGATAATTCTTATTTTAAATATGGGAATAACTACCGATAATCCACTCAGTATAAAGATATATAGAGCATCTTATTATTTTAATTTAATATTTAGTTTTTAGTAAACTAATATCTAAAAATACTAGGGTATAAAAAAGGTAAGGTTAATTATGGACTACAATGTTTTTTTTTAAATACTAACTAGAACGCTGTTTATAATCCTATATCGCCTCTTTTTACAAAGCTTCAGTCTTGCTGTATAAGCTATTAGTGCGGAAGTGGCAACTAATAGTGACCCTCCTTCCAAGGTAGCCAACAAACGCCACGCGAGACCGGCACCTGCTTCTACTGCATCTGCCATAGTACCCTGTAAATTATTAAAAAATAATACTTTCTTAGATTTTCGCGAATATTTCACATTTTAAATAAACTATCGGATGCCGGAGTTTTTTAGTTCCCCCTGATGGTAACGTCCGGAAACAAAAATCGAAACAAATCTGCGAAAAAATCTGTAAAGATAGTTTACGGACTTTTTCGCGGAGTTTAACTAAAAAATATATATATTAAAGCCTGCAATATAGACATAGTATCTACTAATATAAAAGATATTAAACACCTTTAAACTACAGATACTCCCAATTCAAATTAGGCCCTTAGGAAACGTACCTATCAATAAAGACACCATTGTTTTGATTATGTACTTAATTGAAAAATCATCCTTTAGGTTGCAAGTCTGTGCTGTGTATTCAATATTCATAGATTGTTTTAAATGTTAAATAATTTTAATTTGTCCCGGTTTGAAACGGTTATTATCATTGAAGTTTGCTTTGTTTTATATGTGATATATTTTATACATTAATTCAATTCTTTGTTATATATAACTTGTAGGATACTACTAAATAAATGCTATAGGTACATATAATAAAATTCTAACTGACTCGAATTTGTACATTAAATATTTTTTGGAAAATGTTATTGAAATAGTCATTATTATCGATACAGAGGCCGAATCTATAGTTTTTAGAATTTTTATCCGTCTATGTGTTTGTTACCGCATCACGAGAAAACGACTGGACAAATTTCGATGAAATTTTAATGATCATAGCTGGTTAACCGGGTCAACATATAGGATACTTTTTACTGCGGGAAAATATCTCATCTCTGAGAAATCTATACTAACAATTGAAACTTCACTAGTCCGTAGTGAAGTTTCAATTTTTAGTATAGATTTCTAGAACCCGAGTGGAGCGAGGGTGAGTCGCTTGTTCAGTATAATAAAATAATTATTGACACCTGTCGTAGGATCGTTTATCTGGCGCTTACACCAAGCAAATAGCTTACAAAAGTACCTGAGTTGTCTGTATCTTTTTATTGTTTCATTTCATCTCACATCTGCGGTATTATTTACATAAGTAATTCTCTGATAGAAGATTTAATATAACGGGTATTACATCATCAAATATAATATATATTGTCAGTGTTATTAAATGAATCTTTAAGCGAGCTTGCGGTTGTTTGTGAAACGCGTTGATATCTTTATTACGCCCGCTATGTAAACATTGCAAAACTTTCGTTTTACTTTTATTCTTATTGTAAATATGATTATTTATTAGAAGGTTATTTGGAGAATGGGAATGGAAGTTACTTACACTAAGTGCGAGCAGTTATAAAAAGTTAAATTTAAAAAACTTAGTTTTAAATATATTTTTTGATCATTTTATATTAGTTTTACCTAAATATGGCCTAAATATGGCAACATTGTACACTAAGTAATTAAAACAGTTTTTGAACAAGAACTGTATTAATTGTTCTATCGCCTGGAGATAATTTGATTTATATATACTTTTATTTTTACTATATCGGTTACAGCTATTTTTGTTTGTATACTGGAACTGGAACCTTGTAAATGTATTTTGATTTAAAATATTTTATAGTATAAATTCTATGAATTTCTATTTAATTCAAATGTTTTTTTTAATTTTTAAACAATTTTTTACAAGCTACTTACGCTTACTTCGCTCTGGCGCGTCCCTAGGTCAGTTGTCCTGACAGTACCCTAAGCTACTTCAGTGATACTCTAGGTTATAGTCTGTATACTAAGTTTTAGCGTGAAGAAGTAACAAATATACACACAAAACCACGTATGTAATAAGTATGTGTACACACAAAAACTTTCGGATTCATAATAACAGTAATTGAACCAAAAACTAGAAAGACATGTAACATAAAAAAATGTAAACAAAGAGCGAGTAAACATAACTCCTATGAAAAAAGTTTGCATCCTCTAATATATATATATCCTCTAGTATAGCCCAAGTCAATGCTTTTATCTTTTATCCTCAATCGATATGGCACAGGGTTACTATATAAGTCCCGGGGAGAAGGCAACTCCTACCGGGCGCGTCCCCCGGGTGGCGGATGGGGGAATGCAACCCGCTTAGGGCGGCGGGCGGTACCGGAGAAATCCGGCGCGGACCAAATGGCTTGGATAGGGCCGCTCGTCTGGGCTTCGAGCCGAAGACGTTGCGGCCACAGGTGGTTGGACCGCTTGGTCCCACAACCAGATGATGGGTGCCGGTTGCGGGACTGTGGTCGCAGGCCCGCATCCGGCGGAGGGGTAGGCCGCGGCGGGAGAGGAGTGCCGGTATTTCGGTGCGCCGTTCTCCCTACCTTCCGCGGCCTAGACGGGGCCGCCACCGTTTGATGGCGGACGCGGTGGGGCTGCAGGGGAGGAGGAGTGTCGGTGTTTCGTTGCCGCTCTCCCTGTCCTCTGCAGCCGATTGGAGGTGGCCCACTTCGGTGGGTGGAGGTTTAGTTATGGGGCTGCTCCGGGTACCTCTCTGGTGTAGCAGAGTTGTCTGTGGAGCAGCCCCATTGGTTTGGTGGTCAGCCCTTGGCAGACATGCCGCCGGGGCGCCGCGCGGTAGTAGTTATGCGCAAGCGATCCTGCGGCGTCCCACTAAGGCGGGGGGAAGGGATGTCGGGTTTTAGTGGGTAGTACCGGCTCTTCTAGCCGGTGAGCCCCATATCACCACCTATGGGATCAGGTGGTATGCGTAAATGCATTTCCCAACACTAAAAAAAAAACTATACTAACTACTAACTATATAAGTACAATCTTCTACAAATCTATGAGTAAATTAACAGACCCGCGGGTAAAAATAATCTATAGTCTATACTATAAATAAAACCTATTTCTACGCTTATATGGCTGACGCTGGTTAAACCGATACCATCTGAATTACAGTTTTTATAGTTTTAGTAATATTATTGATGTTGATTTGTATCGATTAGGTATACATTTATAATGTATATGCCTTCTGTGGATATAATGTGAAGAAATAGTCGAAAATATGATAACAAAGATGTAGGAATCAGGTATTTTTTTATTAATTAAGTAGTTTGTTATAGGTACTTAGTATTTATGATGATATAACTATAAGCTATGTATATTCTGTTTTATATATCGATGTAGATATTTATTAATTCTTCATTTAACTTTAAACATTTCATGCAAGTTTAATTATGGAACACTATAAATTAAAATCAAGATAAAAATTGCAGCGAATTTAGTCGGTGTATAGAAATGAATATTAACGCATTAACTGTAGTCTATCAAATCTAAGAATGCATTTTGACGTTTTACATTTTTTTAAATAACGCAATATCCGTGTGCAACGATACACATATATAAGTGTATAATCTATGATACACATGGTTGCAAGTAATAAAGCCTAAAATGTCGAAAGATTATTATGATTATTACAATTTTTGATTAATTCATTCCTGTACAATAATTTAAAGGTGCATCTTGTAGAACTTGTTAGAAATAAAATTAATACCTCAAATTGTAAATTAAGTTGACGTTATAACAATGTTACGTCATTAAGTATTTTACGGTAGTGTTGCGACGTTTTCAGTTTCATACATATCCGAATTATCAGAAAAATATTGTTATAATGTAATTAATCGAACATCCTTTAAGGCGGGAATTTAGTAAAAATTATTCAAACTTTGGATTACTTTGTCATTTTTTCATTTATTAGGTACTTTAATTAATCATACTAAAATGTATACTGAAATAACCTATTTAGTATCAATTTTGCACTACATTTACCGCCTTTCTGAGTTTTATGTATTATACAAAACTAAACAATTATCAATTATAAAGAATCAATTCAAATTATTCTGTTTAAGTTGCTATTTTTTAAATTTATTTCTCATGAAAATCGGATATTTATGATGGCTATTATTCAGCTACATCTTTAGACAAGTCAATGGGAGAGTTGCAAAAGTGTATCTTAGATTCGATTCGTAGCCAGCAATTTTTGAAATACTTTCGAATTGTCAAACAAAATCGCTACTACGTATACATATTACCTTCTGTATGTATAGGATAAGCCCGTTTTAATTAATTAAGCAGAAATAATATTAATAAGTACCTATAGACAGAGTGGAGTGTCGAGTACTGGTCTACGTTTATATAGATAGGTATATTAGTGTAAAGCTTTTATAAAACCATTTTTTTTATTAGCAGCATTGAAAAACTATAGTGCATTGAATTAAAATTCCCAGGACTAAGTTAAGTACAATCAAAACATAAAATATAACGCATGTCCCCTTTCGATATTATTAAACAATAATATTATTACGACACTATATGACAAACTGTCAATGTACAATGGAAAATAATTTCCGCACAATATATTGTTCTCAGTTTTAGATTCTCAGGGTCTAAAACATTACAATAAGTGATTTATTACTAAAACGTTTTCGAGGTTGTAAATTTGTTTTTGGAACGCAAAATTGAAAATACCTACATTATGTAAATATTCGATTATTTAAAAAATAATATATTATTTCGGTAAAATTACAAGAATATTAACATATAATTAAATTTAGCCAACTATACTCTCATTTTGCTTCATACATTTAATTCCTTTGAAAGTCTAAGAAATAGATATTTTTCTAGTAAAATGAAAAAAATATATAATATATTTAGGAGGTCCTAATGAAATATTTTGTTACGACTGAGACTTAATACCTAATTACGTTGTTACATTTCATAGTCAGTAGATATTTATATTACCTAGTTATGTACCTATTATATAATCTTATCCATTAATGCACATGTTTGAAGTTAATATTTACACAATTTATTAAAAACAAGTTGTAAATAACTTACATGTTACTAAGATAGGTACATAACATTACATATATGCATCACGTTATATTATATCTTGTGGGGTAATCAGAGAGAACAGTCCAAACGCTACGATCTCGACAAACCTATTTATATTTATAACACTTTATTGCACACGAAAATGGTACATTAAGAAAAAAATACAATTAAAGATATGT